GACTACAGGAAGGGTCATGTGGACTTTACCATGCATGGGTGAGAACTGGCACAGACCGTCGCGGGAGAGACTGCAGACAGACGGACTGAGTTTCCACCTGCACTACATGAAGGTGGGATTTTCATGCCTCGCAAAAACTGCTTTCCACACTTGAAAATTCAGGTTCCCCTTTGGCACGTGTTAGTGTCATTAGAACCTGTTCCTGACGTTTTCCTTTGACTTGCACTGTGCCACGCATATCCATGGCAGGCTGTGACCTAAAATTCTCAAGTCACTGCTTTAATAAGGAATTGCTTTTCATTTTCAAGACAGGGTCTTTGGGGTTTTCCCTGCCTCCCTCACTGGATTCTGGGGTATTAATTGAGCACTGTGTTCACTATGAACTCCCTCCTCACCAAGACAGAATCCTCGTTTTCTGGTACAAATGCCAAGAGTCCTCAGAATCCTACCCGTCTGTGTCTAACAGGCCTATGCAGAGCACGCGCTAACACACAGCATGGCTTCCTTCCGGGTGGTTCTATGAAAAGCTTTCAAGTGTGCAAAGAGACAGAGAGGCAGCGAGTTATCAGACATGCCGAACTTCCCAAAGTGCACTCAAGGCTTCGAGCAGCAGCAGCCAGCGCCAGCGCCCCGTCACTTCTACCTGCGGGTACCTTTATAATCACACGCCGGCGAATGACTCGGGTCGTGACCCTCCGCTCCTCCTCTGAGCTTGAACCACTCTCACTGTCTCTCAAGTCCTGATAAATGCATTTTTAGTATAATTTTATCATCAGATTGAAAACAAAAGACATTGCTGAGAAGGGAACTCAAGAAAGAATTATATTTACTAATTTTTCCCCCTTAAGGAATAGGATGATTTATATTTAAAAGAATCCTGAAAAGTGAGTTGGAAGAGAATGTTTTGAGCAAGATTCAGGCTGCTTTCATAGCTCTTTGGGTGAGCGAGTGGGTGAGCGAGTCTCTGCATGGTCCTGAATGCATGTATGTGTATGTGAAGGCATCAACACACATGTGCATGTGTGTATGTTTGTGCCTGCTTATGTTTGGGCATGAGTGGTGTCTGTGTAGTTAAAGAAAAAGGTAATTAGCTGGGCAGTGGTGGCAGACGCCTTTAATCCCAGCACTCAGGAGTCAGAGACAGGTGGATGGATCTCTGTGAGTTTAAGGCCAGGCTGGTCTGCAGAGTGAGTTCAGAGACAGTCAAAGCTACTCAGGGAAACCATGTCTCGAAAAGCTAAAATAAATAAATAAATAAAACAGAAAAAGGTAATTACGATCTGATAATAATACAGCCTTTTTGGTTTAAAATCTAAATGTTATCAGCTTGATAAGGTCTTTGTATTCCCGTTTAAAATAATTTTAAATTGCCTTTGTCTGATTTGGACATATGATATTGTAATTTAGGCTGTAATTTACTTGCTCTCTACAGAAAGAGGCGTGTGTGTGTATTTTTTTTTAATGGAATTTTGGTTGCATTTGTTAACTTTATCAAAAGTAGACACCAGCACTTGCCAGTTCTGGGAGACTATCATCCACACAAGGTGTTCAGTATGAGCTTTTGCCAACAAGCGAGGGAGTACAGACCTGTGAGCGCCTGAGGACTTTAGTAAAAAAGACCCACAGTGAAATGACAGTATAAGGTGGAACATGGATGGGACTGTAGGATCGTAAGTTCAAGGCCAGCATGGGCAACTTAACGAGACCCTGTCTCAAAATTGTGTGCGTTGGAGACACAGCTCAGTGGTAGGGAACTGGTATGTGTAAGGCTTAATAGTTTACTCTCTAGGACTGGAGAAAGACAGACAGAGAGAAAGAGACACAGGAATTCTGCAACGCATGAGTCTGAAAAAACTATCGAGTAGCAAATAGTACCATTCAAGTGAGAAAATACTGTTATTCAGAAAATATTGTTCATCGCCGTATTTGACTGCAACGATGTAATTATACAAATGAACTCTAATGGTCAGGAAGCTTGGATCTGTGCAGTTCATAGCATTACAAAAGGCATGGCTGCACTGTGTGTGTGGGAGGGTGGAGACTAGTAAAATCACTGCAGGAGAAACAGGCATCAGGTAGAATGACCATAAAATGGTAGCTGAGAAGATAGCGCACTAGGATACGCTGTTAACCAGCAGCCCGCTGGCAAGTCATGGAAGTGTTATGAGTAACGTTAACGCTGAGTTTATATGAAGTCCTCCTGGAGAACACGGCTCTCAAAGTAAATACCAGCCAGTGTCTATGCAAGGAACAGAATTTAAAACCCCATTCCCTAGGGCAGTCCTCAAGTCTCACAAAAGGACAGCGGACAGAGGAGAGTGGAAATGATTTAAGGAACGTGTTAGGAAAGTAAGCAAAGGGAAGAGGAAGTCGTAGTCACAAAAGAACAGGATCACTCAGGACAACTCTAGGATTAACAGACAGGGGAGGCTGCAGGGGAAGACTGAATCATTCATACATGGATTGTAGGGTGCCGGAGTCAGAAGCACGTCACAGGTGAATGCACATACTAACACAGGGCTCAGGAGCTGGCAGACAGGTGACCCTTGCCAGGCTTCCAGGGCAGTCCTCACATACAGAGGCGGCTGGTGGGACCAGTGTTTCTGTGTCCCCTCTCTCCCCGGAGACACAACTTGCTTAGCCTTAGGAGAAGGGAGAGAGCAGCATAGAATCCCAGGCTTCCCTTTAAGAGAATTCTCTAGAAACCAGTAAAGGACCAAGCTTGGGTGGGGGGGCAGGTGGGATTTTCCCAGCATTCCTTGCTTCATGGGAAGAGGAAAGAATGGGGTTTTACCTTGTAACAGCAGGCCGTCATCCGTGTGAGCGCCGCACCGGGACTTTTGACCTGCTTTTCCGGGGGACAGAAAGGGGTCTGTTGTCTGCAGTGGACATCAGATGGCCTTGTTGGTTGCTACTTTACTAGGACAGGGCCACTGAAGACCTGACTGGGGCACCGTGGGATTTCCGGTGAGCTCAAACTCACATTGCCCAGAAGCTGTGACCAAACATGGACTTTCACGGATAGGAGGTCTCTCCGCATTGGGTGACTCAATAGGAAGTTTGGTTTCCATTGCTAGTGAACCCTGCAGAGCTCTGTTCAGGCTTGTAACTGTGTCAACCTTCATGGCCACCCCTGAGTGGCCCTCCAGCGACCCACAACCACACACCCATTAACACAAACAGTGTGTCACATGTCTATGTTGGTTTCTAATAGTTGTTCCCCCCTTCCAGGATAAACCTTCCTAGGTAAATATGTCACTGTGTTACTGCTTCTCCCTGATTTTTCTTTTTTGTACATCGGTTTTAAAAGGAACATATTTAATGGTATGGCATTTTAAAAGACAAGATTCCACCCAAACTTATCCTGCTTAAATACAATGAGAGACAAATCAAAGGCAAAAGTAATTACGACGCCACATTTTGTGAGAAGGGGAAATCCTCAAAACACTTTAAAAGGGGGGAAAAAAAACCAGGAAAAGAATCGTATCAATGCTTAGTTATTGGTGATGTCATCATTTGCATAAACGATGATCTACTGAAATTGCTCTTTCCCCCTACTTTTCTGTTCTAACACTCTAGACAGTGACCAAAAGAGTATAAACAGGGAAGGGGGAGCGGCGCTATAGGATTCTTTACTTGCCAGTGGTTAGCTTCTGAGTGCCTGGGCGTCTTTATAAACCTGAAGCAACGTTTTATAAAATACTGTTTCTTCTTCTCCAAATGCTGGTCTTAAGGGACCTAGGCATGTCTCAGGGCAGGCCATAAGAGCTAGCATGTTAAAGGCAGAGGGCTGTGTTTACTGCGTCGTTGACCAGAAGTTAGAGGCATAGAGAGAAGACAACAGTGGGGGGAAAAAGCCAGGAGGTGGTGACATACAACTTTAATCCCAGCAGAGGCAGGTGGATCTCTGCGAGTTTGAGGCCAGCTGGGTCTACGAAGTGAATTCTGGGACAGCCAGGACCGTTACACAGAGACACCCTGTCCTGAGAAACAAGCAAACAAAAAGGTAGGAAAGTTGTTTCATCCTAGCACCAAAGAGGCAGGCAGGTCTCTGTGAGTTTGAAGCCAGCCTGGTCTACATAGTAAGCCCCTATATAAAAAAGTGGAAACAATGCATTTTAATTTTGTTTCATTGGCGAGAAATCATTTCATTAAAAAAATATTTTAACATTTTAAAAATGGTAAGATCAAGGGCTGGAGAGATGGCTCAGCGGTTAAGAGCATTGCCTGCTCTTCCAAAGGTCCTGAGTTCAATTCCCAGCAACCACATGGTGGTTCACACCATCTGTAATGAGGTCTGGTGCCCTCTTCTGGCCTTCAGGCATAATGCAGAAAGACTATTGTATACATAATAAATAAATAAATATTTAAAAAATGGTAAAACGAAAGAATAAAAAATATCTATTAGGTAGTTACCAGAACATAGCATTAATAAGAGCAAAGCAGGGGTTCCGTTGCATTCGGTCTGGGTGTATGTGCCGATGACCAACTGGCATATAAAATGTTTCTAAGGACAGACTTCTTCTGCCTGCTTTTGAGTCACCTTATCTCGGAAATTGCATCCTCCCAATTTTCGACTACTTTGAGACACTAGTCGCTACAGAATAGTATGTATCGATGGGTCTGATACTACAGTCTTTAAACTCTGTAAGAGAACCAGAAAGTGAAAATTACCCCCCTTTTCCACTAAGGACTAAGGCTAGGTTTGCAATCAGGGAACCTTAACTGCAGGCAGAATTGGTACTGGACCCCCAAAATTAGTTACTTAGTGTTCCTTTGCTTCTTTTTCATCTTTGACTGGAGATACTTTATTCCCTTGAGGACTAAAGGTGCTAACCCATGGTGTACATACATCCTCCCCAGGGCTTTCTTTGGCGCCCCCCCCCCCCCCCCCCCCCTTTAGAAAGCATGAAGAACCTTGCACCCAACGGTACCGGATAAATAGCAGCAGACAGGGTGTTTGCAATGGCGGGAGCATGCTGACGTTGCAGATGACCTACCTTAGGCTCCGATCCGCTGGACCCCTCGTCTTCGTGGAGGTTGAGCCTGGCTTTGCCATCAGCAGAAGTCCTAGTCATCTTTTTCATGCTGACAGGCACACAGGGCTTAGGTGCATCCTCCATGACAAACTTGCTGGTTTCTTCCAGAGATTTCTGATAGGCTGCGCGGGGTGACGCTGGCTCCTCAGTGCGACCAGATCCGTGTATTTTTGGTTTCAGATTCTCCTTAATGCTCTGTTTCCCTATGTCATTTTGGGATTCCGGGAAGTAGGACTTTGCCTTTGCTTCTGGAGTGACTTCTGCATGGCTTCCGTTTGCTTCAAATTTCCCAGGTTCTCCTTTGAGATATGAGGTAATGGAATCTCGAACCTGATCAGAGCTGTAAAGGATACAAGATGCAAATTCATCATGGCAGCGTGAGACTGCAGATGGCCTCAGTACCCACATTACCAAACTACTTTTATTTTTTAATTTTTAGATTTATTTTATTGGTTTTTTGCCTGTATGTCTGTGTGAGAGTGTTGGATCCTGGAGTCACAGACACTTGTGAGCTGCCATGTGGGTGCTGCAAATTGAACCTGGGTCCCCTGGAAGAGCAGTCAGTGCTCTTAACCACTGAGCCATCTCTCCAGCCCCACCAAACTACTTCTGAAGCATAAAGTAGGCATGAAAAAATTAGCAAGTGGATTTCAAATGGGAGGGCCTATCGCAGGTGGGTCAGGGAGGTGTACCCAGGCTGTAGGCATCCCCAACACCCAGCTTCCAACATAGCTGTTAGATTATCACTTTAAATGAGAATCATTTTCCATAGCTAAATTTTACACATAAAAAAATGTTGATGGGCATATAGTCCCAACCTTGTCAGTTTTAAAGGGAAGGCTACTGAGAAGCATTATCATATCACTAAAGAAAAACAAACACACACCAGGTGTGGTGGCTCACGCCTTTCATCCTAGCACTCCGGAGGCAGAGGCAAGCGAATCTCTGCGAGTTCGAGACCAGCCTAGTCTACAAAGAGAGTTCCAGAACCATTTTACATTCCTGTCTCGAAAAACAAAAGAACTAAATAAAAAGCTTAAAGACAAATGAACCCAAATGCTGCCTGAGAGAAATACAACAAAAGAATTCCTGAGTGGAAACTGTATTCTCAGGAATCCTGAACTTGATTTCTTTATAAGGTTTTTGTCTGTGCACACATGCACCAGCCATACTTTCTCAACCAAGATGCCTTTATTGGAACTCCTTGGCCTTTGTCTACTCCAGCCCTGACAAATATGACTTCTGTTTACCATGGGGACGCCTTTCCTAAGTGAGGTAGCTTTTTTCTTTTTGAACGATTTCTAATCTTTTAGTTTCAACAAAAACCACTTGTTTTCTTTTGTAGCTTACATGCCATTTTCAGTGTGGTGCCCAGAAGAGGCAGCAATTAGCAACGTTACCCTGTCTGTTAATGTGGAGGTGCGGACACAAATGCGTGCTTATCCTGTGTATGCAAGAATAATCTACTGGGGGCAGATCTCTGAGTTCAGGGACAGCCTGATCTATACAGAGTGAGTTCCAGAATAGCCAGAACAGCAAAGAGAAATTCTGTCCTCCCCACAAAAATATTAAAAAAAAAAAAATGAAAGCATTTTTTCCCCCTGAGGATAGATGTGTTTTCTTTGTTTCTCTGGATTTCCTACACGAAGTTATAAAATTTACACTGTCCCATTCCTTTTGGGGGCTTGGGGTGCTGGAGATTAAGTGCAGAGCCATACACATTTGGCTTGCCTATGCACTGCTGCTATAGCGCACCTCTGTATTGCAGAATTTTCCCCGGGGATTCTTGCTAGGTGGCAGGATTTGTCAAGTTTTTAACATCTATTATCATGTATCACCACATTTCGTCTGTAGTGATGAAAGGAGACAAATGGTGATAGTCCTAAAAGATCTGGGCTCTCGCTTCTGAAACGACTTCAACAAACACTGCTGGCTTTGCAGACAGACTAATGTAAGGAACCAGCAAAGTGTCTTTAATTAAGCCAACATCTAGATATTTGGCATGGAAGTAACTGTGCTTTGCTTCTTTCTTAAAGAATCCACTTTTCTCTGGGGATTCTAACATGCTGAAGCTGGCATATCCTGGACCAGGTCTAATCATTTAGGAAAGGTGTCACTGCCATAAAGCACCTGTATGAAACAAAGTACGGACACGACACCCGCTTGTCAGGTGTATTCCAGAGACACGGCCATACCTGTCGTCCAGGCGGTCTAGTAACCCACCAGTTACTCTTTGGGCTTGGCCTGGGGACTCTAGGCTTCCACTCGACGTCTCGTTCTGCCAACCTGCAAGTGAAGACATTGCCAGTTCTGCTCGTTCAACACGATTAAGAATAGCCTGCACCTTTTCTTCTGCCATCTCCTCAGACTCTACTCCTTCTTCAAGTTGAATGTCCTCAAACAGAGATTTGAGCTTTTCGTCCACCGTCTCACCAGGACCAGATGTTCCTTTCTCCTGCTCTTCAGAGCTTGGGCCTACTTTTCTAGCCTGTGGTTTCGGCGGCTCTGCCGGCGTACCATCTTTTGGGACCCCAGCCAAACTTCCGAGGTACCGGGGACACTCACTCAGACATACGTCCTTCAGCTGGCTCTCGTCTACATCCCATGGGCCAGCCACTTCTGTTACAGTTACTGAGTCTTCCAGTTTGCTGTCTTCTAAGGACGTGTCTTCTGCCGTTACCACTGGAGGTTCACCTGCTGAACGTTCTAGGATTCCCTGGGAAGGCGTTAGCCCGTCACTCAGTCTACTGGGGGTTCTAAAGGGAGACTCTATGCTAGAGATATCACTAAAATGGTCATCTTGCTGGAAAGGGGTGGGTGGTGTGCAGTACAACCCCATGGGGGTCTCCAGCTCCACTTGAAGGGAAGGGTGACCTATGGAAGACAGTACATTTGGACTGAACCGGAATGCACCAGAACACATTGGACACAAACACATGAGATGGCTCAAATTATATCAGGTATGACAATGCATGATGGGTGACAGAAATAGGTACACGATTTCACGGTTTAGTTCAGTTACATGTAATTTAATGAAATAAAATAACAGCACTTTATCAATTTTAATACAGTATCGTAACTATGCAGAGGAAATGAACTCAGTATAAAGTTAGTTGTCATATGTAGACGGTATGTGGCTCACGGCTAACACAGCATGCAAAACCTATGCTATGGTAGACTTACTACAGCAAGCTGCAAGAAGCCAATTCTGTAATCAGTTCCCTCTTGCTTAGGTTAAAAACAGAATCCAACTCTAATTCTTACATGGAATTTATGGGAGAAAAATAAAGGAATGGATGTACATGCTGGAAAGAAATGATGGATTTCTACAGCAATGGGAGCACCGGCTAAAATAGTTTAGAAAGATGTTAGACAAGACAAACGACTCCCCGAGTATCAGATGCCTTAAGTCACAGAGAGGAGAGAGTTATGGTGTGTACGGAGGTCTTGGTGAAGCGGGTGATAGGAATCTGCTTAGAATCATGAGGTAAAAGAGAAAATAAAATGACACACAGTGGAGACGGGAGGAGAGCTTAGGGACTTGGAACCGTGCTGGGGCGGCCTGCTCAGACGGGAGGAGGGGGCTAACCCCTGATTCTAAGCAATCTATGGAAGAGGAGGAATTTCTTGCCCCGGCAGTGAGAAAGTCAATAAGGGGTCTGGTCCTGGTGAGGAAAGGGTGTTTCCCAAAAGCTCAACAAAGAGGGGGGGAGACTTTTTTTCTTTTTTTAAAGCAGCAATGCATTTTCTCTAGTCACCGGTCTGCAAAGCCAAAGACCGATTTTTCCCTTTCGTTCAAGGCAAACAGCTTGTTGCAGGTTGCTACTGCTATAGGTTAGTGGACACGCGTTGGTTGCAGCCACCTATAAACGTGAGCCTCTTGTTAAAATCCGGCTAAGAAATGATTTATCGTTTGCATTAGTGAACTTATTTCATGCCTAAATTTTCTTGAGAAATTTTCATAAAAAGAACTCCACGATATTGAGATACAATAACAAAAAGCCCTGGTGAGCTTATTTTTAATGACATTCAAACTTGACAATGTTAAAACAAAATGAACCAAGGATACCACACTTGATTTCTTTTCCCAATAAAGAGTAGAGGAAGCTATGGCTGTAACTTGCCAGTCATTCTTAGTTTGCTCTACTGATCTAGTACAAAAAGGAGTTTATCGACCTACAGCTGCCCTCATAAGACAAGGTGCACCATAGCGCGTGTGTCCCAGGGACCCAGTGTATCCGTGCTCCGTGGGTGACAGGCACACTTAGTAAAGAGGCACTGTCTAAGGCTCTGCAACCTTTCCCAATGGGACACGTACAGAACTTTGAAAGTTCCTGGCTCTAGAGAGTCCAAGTTTGCCAGTTAAACACAGAAAAAGACCAGGACCTTATTTCTTACAGGACAATATCCCTGACTGCTCTGGTCCATGCCGCACCGTTATTTTCCATTCATCAGCCACTGTGGGGACAGAGCCCCACCTGTGAAGTGAGACAGGAGCAGCTTCAAAAGCATGGCTGTCTGTTATGTTTTTCCTGACGTTCTGATGAGAGGGAATGATGAATGAATGAGGGAGGGGGCTGTTAGATTAAGCTAAACCTAAAGGTCACCACTGATTTGTGAGTGTGTGTGTGTGTTCACTAAATTAGAAAGACTGTTGCCTTTTACGTACAACACACCAAATATTGCCTGCCCTCCACCCCAAGAATTGCTGGCAGAATGCAGGCTAATATAATGCTAAGTAACTAAACCACCTGAGATGATGGGAGACTCCTCGGGTGCCCTTCTACATGCTTGGTCCCATGGCAGTGATTCATTCTGTACCCAGTGTTTGTTTAGCCAATGTTTGGTGCCAACTGGGCTCAGCATATCACCTCCTTGGCTAAACCTGGGCTCACAGTTTTATTTCACTTATAAATGGAAAGCGATCACGAGTTTTTCCGTTTGAAAGAGTGATTAATTTTAAATGCCAAGGCATTGCATTTTTTAGGCATTACGTTTTCGTCCTTTCAGGGTGCACAGAAGGCTAGGAGTCGCGGCTTTCAGCTCATGCGCTCTCACAGGGCGTCCTCTGCCTCGCAGAGAGACATCTGCTGAGCCTGCTCTGGTATTAGAACATTCATTTGCAGACTCTGGCAGGGCCAAAATGATGGGAACACGAGACGTCAAGCAGATCATGGCGCGCGCACATGGCGGCGAGCGGCTGCCTCGACCAACAGCACGTTCATATTTCTACCGAACGATCAAATATGAACACTAAATGCAATTACCATCGACTGGGTCATGGAAAACATTGTTTTCATCTGCAAAGCTTCTGGTGCCTGAAATATTCCCGTAATCAAAAATCGGTCCTTCTAGCAGGGTCACTATGTCTATTCGGTTAATTTTGGTCAAGACTGAAGTTAAGGCATCAGCTGAAAAGGAGAGAAAAAAGGTTGAGAACCCAGTGGCATCATTTCCCGCAAGTTTACACAACATCCAACCAAAGCATGGCTTCTGCAGCTCTGTTCACATTTCAGCTCCCCGCTGTAGCTCTGCTAGATCCCTGTCCAGAATGCTGGCTGCCCCAGGGAGGAGCCCTACTTTAATGCTGTCTATGGAGGTCACAGTACGCATCCCAGCGGGACAGGACAGATGGTCTTTAAACACCTGTACTCCGCTAAGGGGCCTAACAGAGCTTCAAGTTCCCTGGACTCGCCTTGTCCTAATATTCAATGCTTTATGTTTTAATCAACTACCAAGGTCAGGCTGACCGGGCAGATCTTCAGTAATTTACCCCACGTCGTAGTAGTGGGTACTGGGTGTTTTGGACTCATTGCCACCATCCACCCAAATCTAATGGTAGCAGAGGAGTCTCTGCTGCCCCGGACTGGATACAGCTTGTTGGCTCCCCTAGTTGTAGCCCATTCCTCTCTGTACTTCCCTCCACACCTGCCCCTGGATGGAGCCATAATTTCAAAATGTTTTGATGACCATCCTGTGGCAAGAGAGTTAATATTTCTCTCCCAGTTTTAGCAGACACATGGGAAGAAGGCCAAACAAACTGTACACTATTTCCTGCTTCTTGCTTTTCCAAAAGCTTAAACAGAGGATTCTAGGACAGCTGCACTTAACTAAACAATTGTCACTCTAGACTCTCGCTAACTCCTCCTCCTTGCTACCTAAAATTACAGAACACTGAAAATCCTGGAATGAGCCCAACAGTAGATTTATCTAAGCTACTGACCCTGTGGGGTTTTGAAAAAAATTAAAATAAATAATTTGAAGCATACTTGTGGCATTCTTTCCGTCTCTGGTAACCCACTTTTTTAAGAGCATGAAGCTTTGAGAAATTAAAGAATTGGGATTTTCCACACGTATCTGATTGATTTCATCCACTGAAAAATTCAGTTCCCTTGCCAGCTCTGCGAAGAGAGAGAGAGTTAGGGAGGGTATATTTTACTGTGCACACACTTTATCAAAGTCATGTTCAACTCCCAACACCCCACTCCAAAGAAACAAAACAAAACAAACAAACAAAAAACCCAACCAACAAACAAAACCACCAGGAAAAGAAAAGGAATAGTAAAAAAAAGCTCTTTGTTTAGATTTGGGCACGTGTGTGTGTGTGTGTGTGTGTGTGTGTGTGCGTGCGTGCGTGCGTACCAGGCTGGACTTAAACTCACAGAGATCGCCTGCCTCTGCCTCCTGAGTGCTGGGATCATTTTTAAAGATTCTGGGATTTAAAGAGAGGACGCTGCTGGTTTCTTTTGATTGGGCGTATCTCTGCAGAATGAACAATTGCACACAAGACAGGGAGGAGCATACTACCCCTGGCCATACACAGAGAGCAAAAGGGTTGCTCTGAGGGACCTGTTGCAGTACACCTCTTATTCATTTCTAACGAAGTGACAAAGCCTGTGAGTTTTCCTCAGGAGGTCCAGGGAAAAGCGTGCATGCGATACACAGCCTTGTGTGGGAAAAAATAAGAGGAAGTGCTGTGTCCAAGTACATACTCAATCTTGCAAACACAGAGGTTGTCTCTGCAGAGATTAAGATGAACTCAGCGTGGACCATCAATATGGCTTCGCATGTGAAGGCCAAGCCTGATGGCCTGAGTTCAGCTCCTGGGCCCCACGTGGTAGGAGGAGAGAGAGAATCAAATGATGAACTCAATATGAATGGGGACCTTGGGAAAGGAGACATCTTGCCATCACATCTCTTTAAAAAAATATGTATCAAGTAAGAAACACGAAGAATTGCTTCCACGGGAAAACTGGCCAAGATTCTACCCCTGTCAAGCATTTATAGAAACTTGGCAAAATGAACTCAGAAATTCAAGAAGTCCTCACGTTTGATTAAGTGTACTGCTAGAACTCTATCCTGTGGCATGCGGGGGTTTATAAAATGTTTCGCACCCAGGCGTGGTCACTGTAGACTGGAACTACTAGAAACTTGACAACTGTCCTCTTGTTGAACAAATGGAGGAAGTTTGCTGATGAGATACTGAGTTTTTAGTCTTGTGATCATGGTGGACAGTAAAAAGTATATCAAGTAAAACAGTGTTTCTATAAGCGAACCCAGTTCACCTCAGCACAAAATTTAGCCTTAATACATGTGTGTGCAGACACTTTCTTTTGTTGTTCCATTTAACAGCAACTAGAGCTTAATTTAAATCCACGTCATGAACCTTAAGCATAGAAGTTAGGAAAAAAATACCATCACATGTATAGAGCATTATCAATCAAAGCCAAGACCACCAAATATTAATTGTCGGAAACTACAAAATTTGTATTAGTTGCAAACAAAACAACTTAATCAAAACTTATTAGCAATGGTTTCAGGAGATACATTTATATTTTGTTTGCTTAAATATTGAAATTTTTCTAATAGTCTTCATTGATCACATTCTAATTAATCTAATTAAAGAGGTTAATTCCAGTTTTAATTCCGCCATTTGTGCACATTTTAGGTGACAGGAGTCCTACTACCCAGGAAATTCTTAAGAGCAAACATTTATTGCCTGGGAGACTGGGGAAAGGCACAGTGACCCTGAAGAACTCAGAGCCGGAGGACTTGATTTTATTTCTTCTGTTCTAGTCCTAGGGATGAAATGAGGTTTTGAGTAGGCCAGGCCACTGAGCTCTGTCCCCAGTTCAGCTGGGTCATCTTCTGTGCCACATCTCCAAAAATCTACTCTGGGAAACTAAGGATTGCCCATGTTAAAAAAAAGAAAGAAAGAAAGGAAGAAAGAAAGAAAATCTGGTTATTCAGCAATAATGCAAAAATTAACATACGTTCTGTATATTTTTCAGGTAAATGACCTATGTTAAAGCGGAATTGGTGTTAAGAAGGACTTTGGAGGAAACTATGTGTACATGTATAACACTATTAATTCTTAATGTTTGGGGATCACCCAGACACTGAGCATACCAGAGTTCCGGGCAGCCTCTGGCCATGTGCAGCTCGTCTAGAGTAGAGACTAGACACCAGGTAAGGAGGGCTTGGAGGTGGGGCTGAGGCATGCAAAGGGCACATGTAGATGAATTTGTTCCCCATGGTCTAGTTTGACCTTCCTCGCTCTAACACTAGATAATGGTATGGCATGAGAATGGATGCGGTAGCAGATCTATGACTGCAGAGAGATGATAACTAACATTTATCTCTTTTACTAGTTTAGTTATATTTGGTCTACAGTCATAAAATAAATCGAGCATTTGCTCCAGCATTCCAGTGTATTTTCAAGAGTGTCCAAAGTCTTTAGATTTGTAGTTTAAAATGCATATTCAACCTAGGAAACATCAAATCTCTTAGATGTGAATGAGTCAGGATATAGGGAGGTTTGTTAAGATCAACACTATCAAACTAAATTGTTTGGGTGACACAGCCCCACATTTGACTTTACTGATGTAAAACCAAACTGGCTAGTTCCTTTCCATCACCCTGACTGTAAATGGTTCCAGAGGGCTCAAGTACCTTTGGGAACCACATCTATTTACTTACATCCTTTTCCAAAAGTTAACTTAGGAATAAAGCTTTTATTCCTTTTTCTTGGCCATAGAAATATTAAAAATATTTTTTTTGTTCTCTATTGTCAAATTTTTTCAATTAAACTAATCCTAAGGCATAACAGTAAGTTCATTGAAAAGCAACAGTCTAAGAGAGAGGCACAGCAATTGGGTAAATACTGCAATCCTGGAAGGCTAAGGAGCATGTGTCTACACCTGGTTACACAAGGGCACAGTTGTAATTGAACTGTTGACTAAGAGCGCTGTTTTAACAACATGGGTCCTGTTAATGTAGTCCTAGCCTCAGCTGGGTCTTCTTTTAGGCTCCTAAGGCCTGTGCCCTCAGATACAAGGCTACTCTTTTATAGAAACAGCAGCGTGAAGAGAGTTTAAAGTAAAATAAGACCTAACTTTGTTTATATACAGAAAAAAAAAAAAAACAAAACTAAAGGTGTACAGTTGCTGTCAGTAATTATCAGTGTAGGTAGAATTATGAATAACGTTTTATGGGCTGCTTGTTTGTGCATTTAAGGATGTACAGGAGGACCAGGAAGATGATCTGCGCGTGATGAAGACAAGGACACTGGGGAAGGGTACCTGCTTCGTTCAGGAGCGCGTACACTTACCTGTCCAACTAAGTCCCAGGTGATCGGCTACTATTGCCATCCTGATATCTGTCCGCTCACAAGGACTCTGTGGACCTACGATTTACAATTTCTCAATTAAAACAATCGCCAAGGAAGACACGACACTGGAAAATTGCTTTTCGCAGCACTCAGATTTTTTTTTTTTTACAGAGACTGACACTAACACTGTGTACTTAGATGTGTCCTAGTCACCTACACAAACACCTAGACAAAAATGTTTGTCTGTCACCCGCACCAGGCCAAATGCCAGATTACATGGATGCTCGGAATGTAATGAGATTGAACATGCTGGCGAGTGGGCCACTTCACAACGGTCACAGAGTCGCGTTGGTGGCCACAACCATTGATGGAATCTGGACATCAGTGCCTTGGCTCTGACAGAGTCATACCCACGAGCACGTTAGGAAAGAAACTCGCTCACATCTTTGAGTGACACCAGTGTCGCATGCTTCCCTAGCTCTCTACGGTGTAGCTGGGTTGAGGATAGAGCATCTAGGACAGCACACACAGATGACAATGACAGAATGAGAAGCTACGGTTAAACCACTCCACAAGCAATCACGACAGGTCATGCACTAGGGTCTACGAGTTGGAAAGTGTTTACGGACTATGCTGTTTCTCCAGGTCGTGAGCAAAGAGCGCTCAAGAAACCTGACTGCCTTCGTTCTCACCAGTCCTCCTACTGCCGGCCTTTCCACTCTTTGATTTTAAAGGTGTTGCCTCTGTTCTCTTATCTCTAGCGGACTTCGTGGTAACTGAAGACTGGCCACCCCGGGAAGTCTCGGACAACGACGTGGTTCTTGAGGTACTCTCTTCCTCATCGGACAACTCCGACTGCATCTTTTTGTCCTCTTCAGTGAGGCGGTCCACAAGTTTTAGGGTCTCACCACTAATTCCCTTAAAATATTCAATGGGATGTTTACATACCGCCTTATGCTGACTTTCTCTAACTTTAACGGTGGTGGTGGTGGTGTTGGTGGTGGTGGCGGTGACACAGGTGGATCTTACCTTTACTGGCAACTTGGATGGAGGCAGTTTGGCCTTGTCTTTTTCTGGCTGCCCTCGCTTTTGTGTGGCACATGCTTTTCTGACTGAAACTAGGTTCTCCCTGTGTGTGTTTTTGACTGGAATTCGGGACTTGACATCTACACATGAAGAAGGAGGAAGGGTTTTGTTTTTTTCAGATGGACCAACCTGCCTCAGTTTACCTGCTTTACTGTCTGGCTTATGGTTTGGCAGGAAGACATCTTTTGGTGCAGTGGCCTTTATGGGAAGCTTGGATTTCCGCCTAGCCCCTACTGGTTCCTTCCGCGAATCTCTGGTGCAGTGTCCTTGGATCCCTGGACTCTTTCCTGAGACTTTCACTGGATTAGCTTTCTCTGTGGTACGAGTGGGGGCAGCCCGTCCTGTCAGAACTACGTGATTTGTGGTGTTATCTGTCTGTACAGTGGAAGAATCCAGGTTATTGTTGTTATTGAAGTTATCTTTTTGGAAATCGTGTTTCTCTTGGGGCCTATCGCCCACCTGGCTATGGGGTGTACTTGAGATAACTGCCATCGTTTCGTTTTCTGACCCCTGACAATTGGTCACCACAGCCTCTAGCTTATCTGTCACTTCTCCAGAGCCTTCTTTCTTCATGGTCATGGTAGATGCAGAAATTCCCATTTTTATAGGCGTGCGTGACTTGGGGTCAGCTTTTGAGGTGTTAGCAGCGGCGGCTGACTTCTCCAGAGACCCACTACAGGCTGTGCCTTCCTGACACTCTCCGTTGGTCGATTCGACTGTAGGTGCCTCTACATCTCTTTCTAGATTGGTGTCTACCGAGGTGTCCCCTGACTGTGGCTGTGGGGTGTCAGTGACCATACTGCTATCCCCTTCCCCCTGGGCCCCTGACTTCCCTTCAGGAGTATGCTCACCAATCTGGAAAAATTGGAGCCTCTCTTCCACAAAATCTCTCTTGCTCATGTCAATTGCACCACTGCGGGTCATCTCAAACATTTTTCCTTCATGAAATGGGAAGGGGTTAGGCTCACTAGTTGGGGTACTTTCATCGGTTGGTGTTCTGGCCGGCGTTGTGTCAGGGGTGGTTGCCGGAGATTGGTCGTCCACCGCCAGGCCAAATGGCTTAGTGTCATCTTCCCGAGATTTACCATCAAAAACTTCATTGTCCCCTCGGTTATTGGGCCAAGGGTCAAAATCTAGACCTTTGGTCGCTACCGTTTTAAAAGGAGTGGCGAATTCTTCATCAACTTTGTAACTGAAGTAAGTATCAGGAAACACAGATCTGTCTGGATGTCTCCCTTCCAGGGTGAAAAATTGGGCCCCTGACTTGGGATCGGTCTTCTCTGGGGTTTGGTCAGACGAAGAGCTTTTGGAAGATGATGGCTTCTCTTCATCCAGCCCCACTTTCCCCTCCTCCTCAATAACTTCCAGTTTACTCTGACTGAAAGAGCGGTCGGCAGGCTTCAGGATGCCTTCCGTCCAGATGTCCTTCTTGGTATCCAGGGTCTGACTGGGGAGTTTAGAGTCACTCTCTGTTAGGCCATCGTCCTCATCTTGCAGGTCATAGCCATCCAGAGAGTCGATCTCGGTGGCGTCCGTGTCATGGGAAAACTCAGCCGTGGTGGCGATGGAACACTCAGTGACAGACTGGTCATTGTTTCCATTCTGAGCCGTTTCGTTCTGAGGCGAGTCAAGGCCAGATTCGTTCTCCCTCCCATTAGTCTCCACCTCTTTCTGGCTGGAAGCCTTCGTGGCAGCCGTTTTGGATTTGGCCATGTCTTTCTGTCCTTCGTCAACTTCCTTTAACTTGAAGGTGTATTTTTTAACCGGCACCGGTTGGTACATGGACTCATCATCGCTGGAGTCGCTGGCTTCAGCGCCGGGAGGGACCGGTGATGGGGGCTGCACTCGGATGACGGGTTCAGCCAGCTGGTACTTGTCACCCTCATCCTGAAGGTTGACCTCAATCATGTCAACCTCCCTTTCAGGGAGATACTGATGTTTCTTATCTGATTCCATCTGGTCGGCATCCAGAGGGGGAGGAGGGGGGAACTCAATATAGGCGACCCGGTTACATTTGGGTCTTGGGGTAGAGTCTTTGCTCACATCACGCTCTGTTTCCCGTTCCATGGTCACCTGCTTTAGGGGGGCTGACTTGGGCTCCTCTGACTCCGACTCCTCAGAAACCTCGGGGATCGGGCTGGGTTGACCTGGTATAAAAGCTAAGAAGGAGTCTGGCGTCTTAGACGTGAACTCGTAACTCACTTCCTCTGAGCTGGGGGTTTCTGGGGTCAAAGGGCTCTTCCCAGAGCTGTCTAGAAAGGACACTTGCTCTAGAGTATCATCTTCTGGGCTGCCCTGGGGAGAAGGAGGCTGCTTTTGCTGTCTGGTTGTATAGAAGGTTCCCCTGGCTTCCTGCACCGTCTTACATTCCTGACTTATGATTTTTTTAACCCCTCCTTGCTGGAGCTCCTTCTCATACTGTTTCCCCACTTGGACGAAGCTAACATAAACAGGTAGGGTTTTGATCTCCTTCCCTCCCTCTGTCTGGGCTAGTGGAGCAAGCTTCTCCAACCCCTCCATGGAACCGTGGTCGAACACATCACTAGAGGGAGAGTCCTTTCCCGGGCTAAACTCTAATGAGTCGGGAGATCTGGTGGGAGAGGTCTCGGTTTCATCGAGAGCTGGGCAGAGGCCTACGTAACTCTGTTTGGAAACTTTGCTGATCTCGGAATAGGTAACTTTTTCATCCTCTACGGAATTAAAGTGCTGGCTCTCAACTATCTCTTTGCTCATATTTGACCGGGATACTTTTTGGGAGAGTTCATGTTTTGGAAATGTTGACTGCTCACAAAACCCATCAGGCATGTTAGGAGATGGCATCTTCCTCTCGTCTGCGACCCTGATGGGGATGTGAGAGACCACTGAGCTCTCGCTTCTCCTGGGAGGATGGTCGGGAGCGCCGCCGGGACGGTCCCCTTCTTTAACAATATACTCCCTGTATAACACTTTCTTGGAGGGAGATTTTACACTCATTTCCTTAATTTCTGAGAGAGAGCCGTTCGTTAACAATTTGTGTTCTCTCTCAGTCACACACATAAATTCATTCCTTGGGTCGGCATTCTCGCTCTCCCCCGGGCGAGCGGCATGACTCTCTCTGGTATCGTGAACAAGCACATGCGAAAGTTTCTCTTTCTGAGCCTTATTGTTATTGGCCCCAGAACTTTCCCATGTTCTAAAGACCTTTCTGTCCCAAGGTCCCTTGGTCGCTAGGTCTGATGTCATGGGACAGGCTGCGTCTTCTTCAGCCTGCTGCTCGGGGAAGAAGTCGGGCATTGCCTTACTTAACATCTCAGTTCTGTGTCTTTTGGCATCATCGGAGCCAGATTCGTGCACAACAGTGTCGTTGCTTTTGGCATGCTCAGTTTTGAATATTGTGACATCATTTTGCACTGGCACTCTCTCCTCGGAGGGGTCTACAGCCTTCTGCTGTTTTTCTCTAGCAAAACCTGGGTGTGTGGGCAGCTTGTTTTCTAGAGTTTTCTTAACTGGGATTCGGGATGGGCCGTCCAGATTTTTCTCTTCTTGAGAAGGGTCCTTACTTTTTGCGCGTGTGCCTTGCTCAAATTTTAATCGAATGGAACTGAGTTTAGATTGTTTGAGCTGAAATCCGGACTGGGGCCCTTCTGGTCCTCGACTCTGAGCACTGACAGTTCTTTTGGCTTCCTCTGTAGGCTGGCCATCCTCACTCTGTTGGGAAGGGACCCTCTTCTCTGGGCTGCTGGAGCCACTGGGTGTCTTCCTTTCCTCAGCCTGAGGGACACCTCGTTCGTCTGGGCCACGCTGCCTGGCCTTAACCCACTCGTCATTGGATGCCAATAGCTCTGTTAACACTTTCTCGGGACTACTGCTGGTAGAACTCTGGGAAGAGTATTCCTTGCCATTTTGGGGGCGTGGCTTTTTCTCCGGGGACTGCAGTTCATCGTTTAGTTTCTCGGTTTTGTCACGAAAAAACTGTGACACCTCAGTCAGTTTCTCTTCGGCCTCCTTCACGGTCCTGTCCACCCTATCTTCATATATCAACTTCTCTCTACCTCTCTCTAGTCTGTCCTCGGACAAGTGCATCCACACGGCATGTTTTGGACCACTGACATTACCCGCATAGTGCAACACTGTCATTTTATCAAAATGCTCGTCTTTAGACACTCTCCCTACCCCATTTTCGGACACATCTTTATAGATTTTGGAGAGGATTTCTTTTTTGGGGGCAGTGGCTACTTTATCTCTGGAGCGCTTATCAGACCTCTGTAACTCTGAGCTAGGGGGTCCTGCAGGGTCTGTCACCGATTCCTCGGTATCAGAGTGAGAAACATCTAGCTTCTCTGACAGAAGCATTTTCTCAGCAAACCTGTACGACTCCCCTCTTAGGTCTGACAGCTCGTCATCATGGTATTCTACGGAGTGCTGACTCAAAAGCTTCAGTGTTTTATACGACTCATCGGATAGGAGCTGTGCGGAACTAGGGCGGCTATCTTCTTCTTGGGACACTGGAGTATTTACTCTGGAAGATTCCAGATAAGAAGGCAAGGACTCTTCGGCTGCAAGTTCTTCATCGTCTTGCGGACCCTGCTCCTCGGGGCAAGGGAAAGCATCGTGTTTCTCTGGCAGAAAATCTTTTAAGTTAATACTTCCCCGGGACAAGTCTTTCTGACACACAGATACTTCCTTCTCTGGATGCTTTTTGGTCTCTCTAATAATGACTCCAGTGGGTTCGGCTTGGTTACCTTTTTCGATGTGGACTTCTATTATACGCTCCAGTTTGGGTTTCATTTGGCTGTCCTTCTCTGCGTGCTGGGCTGAGATCTCAGCAGCAGACTTGGGAATGTCTGGAGACATGGCCGACTTGTGTTCAAACAGCCCTGCCAGCTCTTTGGAAGGGTCTCGCCCGGACTGGAAGGCTTTCATAATGTCGTGGACTGACATGGTTTCCTCAATTCGTTCTGAGGTACATTCACTGCCCGGAGGGGAGTGATACACCATCCTGGTGGTTGTGGTGATATGAGTCTCTTCTTTGACACGCATGCCTTTACTTAAAACCCGACTATGGTCCTCTTCCTCGCTACTGGCTTTCATTTGAAATGCTTTGACTTTTTCCTTAATGCTAGAGGTGGTAGGCTTTGGCTCCAACTCCATAAATGTAGGTGAAGGTTTGGGAGACACGGGGTCCTCTGGCTGGGACTGGGGGATCTCCCCAGTAGAGGGTTCATAGCTCCTAATCACATGGACCACTTCAGTCCTTGTCTCTGTGATGACGGGAGGGATGGGGACTTCATGGAAAAGTGGCTTAGGGCCCGTGCTTTCTGCACTTTGTGGGGCTGATGGTGTTTTCTCACTCCTGGTTTCAAAGCCACTGTCGGATAAGGGACTTTTATCTTGGTCATGTTGAGAAAAGTCATCAGGAGATTCTAAGATGGCATCTGAGCCAAAAAATGAGTCAGCCATCTTGCACAATTCCTTCTCGGAGGTGGAAGGCCTCATGGAGGCTGGGGGCATTTTGAGTTTGTGCTCCTGCAAGGCCATGGCTGGCTTTAAAATCCTTTTCTGTCTCTCCTCTCCGTCCTTCTTGGCATCTTCAAACTTGTACTTTAAGTTGGTCAGTGAACTGCTCCCAATGTCATTGGTCAGGTAGTCAATGACTCTCGTCAAGTTGGCCTTCCCGTGCACTTTCTCAGGCAGAGGTGGGGTGTGGCTGGCCGCAGCCTGCCTGGCTTCTTGTATTTCCTCAGAACTAAACTCTATCCAGTCATCCTCTGGAGAATGTCCTTTGTCACTCTTTGGGGATTTGGGTGGCCCTTTGCTGTCGACACATACATCCTTTTTTAGGATCTCACTGACTTTCACCAAGTCTTCCTTCACTTTCTCGACGATTTTGAAAGGCTCTTCGTCATCTATCCTCCCTTCTTTCGGAAGGTCGGGTTGGAATGGCTTCTCCTCGGGCACATCCGTCTGCAGGATGGCGGTCATTCTCATGAGGTCCTCCTTCATTTCAGCCACGTCCTTTAAGATCTCCTGACTGGAAGATAAAGAAGATGGCGCCGACAGCTTAAGGGCAGAGGGCGTGAGGAACAGAGATGACTTAACGGGGGATGACGTTCGAGTGAAGTGGGGTTGAGGGCGCGTCTCCGTAGTCAATGTTTTAACGGGTGACAGCAGAGCCGCTGCCGATTTTGTGAGCGAATTAGAGTCTGGAAGTTTCTTCAGTGCTGGTTCCGACAAAACATTGACTACCGAGTATACTGGCACTGTGATTATTGACGACGTCACGGATGAGGTAGTAGCAGAGATTGAAGACCCGAGGGAGGCGTAGAGTGCACTTGCGGAGGAAGTTCTCAGAGACTGAAAAGCCGAGGGCGCTGCAGAGACGTACGACCTGAGTGAGGAAAAGGGCATGGCTGCTGTGGTAGAGGGCGCTTTCTCCACCGCGTCAGTGGCCGTGCTGGCCACCGAGCTCGCGGCGTTTGTGGCTGTAGAAATTCTGTCCTGTAACGTGGCAGTGGCTTTGCATCCGTTAATTAAAGCTGAAGATGAAGGATACTTCAGAGGAGACACGGACCCATTGACTAGCGCTACCTCTGCGTGTCCAGACATCTGCTTTAAGGGGGAGGAGAGAGATGATGCCATTGTAGCTTTAGCTGACGAGAGGACATCAGCTGCTGACTTAGTTGGAGACACCACTGACTTTAAAGGGGAAGAGATCAGTGGCGCTGCGGATGTGATAATGGACTTAAATGGCAAGCTTGAGGAATACATAGTAATGTTTGATTTGGGGGAGGCAGGGGGTGTCATAGTAATGGATGACCTCTCCAAAAGAGACCCTGCGGTCGTCACAGGAGAAGTTCGAGAGGAAAAGGTTGAGTTGGGCGCCAGCCCCTTTAAGGGTGTGGCCTCGGTGACTGTGGGAGCTCTCCCCAGGGTACCAGAGGCAACCTGGATATTGTAGGGAGATGGCGACGCCACCGTTTTTATTGGCGAAGACATTGTCCGGAAAGATCTAATAGGAGATGCCACGTCACTAATGGATTTGACTGAAGATGTCGTTGATGCGCCTAGTGTGGATTTGATTGGAGAAGGAGTCGAAACAGACCATATGGATTTTAACGGAGAAGCTGATGGTGTGTTAGAGGAAGAGCTGGATAAGGAGGCGAAGCCTGACTTGGCCGGCCCGGGTACCGTGCTTGGAGCTGTGGTCCAGGACTGGTATGGTCTTGTAGAAAAGAATGGCTTGTATGAGCAAGTGGTGGGGAGGGATCTTGCTGTTCCTGAACTCCGTTCAACTGTTTCTTAAATTTTAAAATGAAAAAAATCAAACACAAAATAAAAACCAACAAAAATGGTTGAGAAACAGAGAAGAGACCAGAGAAAAAAAAATTGGTCAGTAAACTTGGAAATATCGCAGAAGCAAGTACAGTTGTTTGCATGATTTGGGATGGGAGAGGCAAAAAAAAAAAAAGAACGATTTGAGCAAAAGGAAAAATAAACATGAACGGACATGAAGAATCTGAAGTTAAAAAAACAAAGACGATGACGGAGCGGGAATGGGATGGTATACAAGGAAAGCGCACAGCAGCCACAGAGGCCAACGGTGTGACGGAGGAACACAGGCAAAGCACCGACAATGACAAGGACGAACACGATGGAAAACGGCCTCCTTACTTCCTATTGACTTTCTTGTGTGCTGGGTTACAGATAGCAGCAGCCATTCTGTTTTGCCTGTATACATACATATGTCTGTTTTGCGCAACCACAGAAAGTGTCTTAAGACTCTGGGATGTTTCCTCTGCTACAGCTTGTCCACCATAAATTGCACCTGGTTAGAACCATTTCAAAATGTGAATCCACACATTCAGTAGTTGAAACTTTTTTTTTTTTTACTCTCCTTTTCAGAAAAACCACTCAAGCTTTGTCATGCAGAGTCCAAAATAACTAGTAAGAGACAGGCAATTGGTGTGCAAACTCTGAAGCCACCGGATTTCTTAGATCTGTGTCTCCCATGCAGGATTGGTTATGGTTCACACCCATTAAAAAAAGCCAATAAGAGCAAGAAATTGCCTGAGTCAGAGCTGTCAACCCAAAACTTAAACCAAAGAGGAGGAATGTTTGCATCGATGCTTTTTCCATGCAGTATATTCCTTCGGATAAGGGGGAAATGGGAGATGAAATGATTTTTAAGATGCATGTGTACATACACACATACAAAGGGGGGAAAACAGAAAATATGGTTCACGGTTACCAGAGCAAGCAAAGCAACTGAAAACATTTGATCATGCGGCGATTTATCGTGGCCAACAAGCCGATGAGGAAATACACTTTTCAAAGCAGTATTATGCATGGTATATATAATGTTCAAAAACACTTTCTCAAGAACAGTTGGAAAGAAGAGTACACTTTTTCCATGAGAGGTGAAGTCTTGGTACCTTTTGAGATTTTTAAGGAACTTTGTGATACCTTATTAAATATATCTGCCACGAAAGGGACTCCATTTCTAGAGCTTGCTTCATTATAAGGAGAACGTAATTTATATCTTGGCCCCCTCTCCCCCATAATCTGGTCTACTTTTAACTCTCAAAAGGTATCGTGGGGAAAATCCAAAAAGCACAAATATCTTTTGAAGACCCCATATGTCAAGTACCTACAGCGGCTTATGTGTACATTTATCAAATGCAAAGGTACAGATTCTGCTACCTTTCTAGAATATTCCTCATATTCTTGGTAACTTCCAAACACTGCAACAGCCACGAGGAAAGATGGGTCCAATAATACCAGCGTTCTTCACAAAGCAGGCAAGAAACCCACACGTGAGGTGGGTACACACATGCAAGCTTAGCCATCTCTAGTTCCATAACTCAAACAGAGCCAGCTGCTCACAGGGTAGGGATGCCTGCCGGGGGCAAACCAATGTCCCACGCCAGAGATGAGTACAGTCTTGATCCGAAAAGGCAACCATTTACAGTGTCAATGAGATGTACAGAGGGCGTGAGGACCTCCCTCATTTATGCTCTTCCTCGCGCTGTGCCCAGGCCACACCAGTCCTACCAGCGGGTTAGCAGCTACTCTCACAAGGGTGAGGATTTCCATTCCTAGTGTGCATGGAAAGGCAGACATTTCGAACATGCCCTTTTTTATTGCTGTGTATCAGCCTTACTGAAGCAGAGGAGCTAAGGCAACCTCACAGAGGCATGACTCAGTCTGGCCATTAGTACCAACATCCTACTGCTTAACCTGCAGGAAAGGCCATATTGTAGACACATGGCCGAGTGAGTCCTTCGGTTCAGTGATTTGGGGTCAGTGTGTGTTTCGAGAGTTGGTCTTTTTTTAAACTACCAGAAACTGGGAAAGGGCCTCTATTATTTGGTTTAATAAAGAATATTTTTTTTAAGATTTTAGTGTGTGTGTGTGTGTGCATTCATTCTCTAATGCCTTGGAGATGCAGTAAAGGACATCCTCCTGTCTCATAGCGTCTCTGATCTAAAGTAGTTTCTCCAACAAGCCTGTCTGAAGCCTAAGTATGTTACCTTAGGGGTCCCAACAACTATTCAGTGAGGGTCTCAAAAGAAAACCAACAGAGGGTTACACCAAATAAATTTACTGAAAAACCGAATAGCCACAGGCATTTATTCCCTGTTCTATCACAACAATAATTCTTTCTGGACCTCCAGTTCCTAAGGGATAGAGCTTCTATCTCTTCTGCTAGAGGAAGAAAATCAGGTCTGAGGGAATGTTCAAGAACATGGCTTGCTGTTTATGTTCCTCTTGTATTCTATATTTGGAATCTGAACACAAAATCTTTTCTAACAGAGTTAGTGTCAGATGCACTGGGCTATGTAGTGGAGCGGTTCCCTGCTTGTGTGTTGTATGCATGCTGACCCACAGACCTCAGAAGACGTGAGGGCAAGCAAGACTATCACTCTTACCATGACAGCTCCAAACTTGGAATCAATGACAAAGTATTTTCATCTAAATTTTCTTTAAGCTACCGCTCTCCACTGGTTACAGGACCCAGTGTTGATCAAACAGGGCACTGTACTCTCTGCTCACAGCTGCTTCTGGGGTTAGAGCTAACTCTAGGGCTATGGTGACCATGGGATGGGAACACCGCAACCACGAGGGAGGAAAAGGTAGTCAATGGAGAGAGAAAGACAGAACATGACCAAATAAACAACCACCTTGCAAGCCAGTTATGAGTAAACTCAAACAACCACTAGAACCAAGGACTTTACCAGCCCAGTCTAAGAAGAGCCTTAGAATCGAGATCTTGATGGAAGGCAGAGAGAAGAGATGGGATGAGAAGCCCATAGACTGTGCTACCCCCAGAAGAGAGTATGAGTCTCACGAAGGGAAAAGAGCTTGAAGCACTATGCCACAGTCTAGCTCGATTACGAGAACTGAGATGACAAAGGGACCTAGCCTGTGCCACCACAAATATACACACCTTCCCTTTTCAGCAGAGACTTAAAGGAACCCTGGTACTTCTCCTTGAGCATATTAACAATTACCAAAGTAAAATAAAACAGTTTACGAAAAACAATTAGTGACTAGCTTCAAGAACAGAAATCATTTTCAGCTATGACCCGGGGTATCTGTTGTATCTATGTCTTCAACAATGTATGGAACATTAAATTTCATAATAAGGTTATGAAATTTACTCTGTAGGCAATTGTTTCGGGTTATCCATTTCCCAAATGACATCAGAATTTAGTGTGTATAGAAAAAATGTCTCTTCTTCTAAAAAAAATTCAACATAGGTTAGAGAATGTGTTAGGAGACTCACTCAGGCCAGGCTCAGTCAAGTAGCTGTAGCGCTTACGTAAAGCTAGGGACGCAAAGCTTTGCCGTCTGTCCACTTTCTCAGCCTGAAAAAGAAGAGAAGAGACCATTTCCACCTTCCCTGTGACACCTTTACTCCTTGAAACATTTCATTTTGGCTGGGACGGTCATGTCTTGTCCACCCTCAGGCATTATTTCCCCCTTGAGGGGTCTATGACCCCCTTCCCTCAACTCTCAATTTGTGGCAGACTACGGGGGGGGGGGGGATCGGGCTAGAAAGGTTGGGTGGCAAATTTCCCGCCAGTTCGTTATATTGGAAGCACACATGTCACACAATCCACTCACTACGTGAATACACTCGAGGAGAAATGATACAGAAAGTATCACCCACGGATTCACTGTGGGTACACAGGGGAGATGCGATTACAGACAGGTGGAGAGCCTCCTCGGCAGCTGTGCGACTCGGACTGCCATTGTCATGGACGGCTCACTATTGACAATGATTGTGGGTTCTTAAAAATCCAATTATCACAAAGCTTACAGAGAAATACACGGTGACAGCTTAGGGGAAGCTCTTGCAAAACTGAACAATGGCACTCTCTAAAAAATGACCAAGATAGGGCTGGATACATGGACCTGAGGTTAGAACTCTCGCAAAGGACCCGAGTTTAGGTCCCAGTGCCCACATCAGGATGCTCATAGTCTCCCAGGGGGATCTCAGGGTTCTTTCCTGGCCTCCTGGGGCATTACATTCATGTGTACACAGCCACACAGAAACATATATACATATAAGTTAAAAAAAAATAAAATCTTTTTTTTTTTTTTAAATGGCCAAGATAAATTCTGTCGCTGGAATGGCAAATGTCTATCTGCAGTCAGTGAGAAAATACTTTACATTACATAAAACATAGTTGATTATACAACACAATTCCATGTAATAACCAGAGTCTTGAGCTAGTGCTAACAACACAGTGGGTAGCCAGAGGGCAGTGGGTAGTAAAAACACACCTGTGGAAGTCAATAAGTTTATGTGTGGCAATCTGTCATGTTTAAAGATGCTTAAATGACGCCAGGTTTTTCATTAACTAGTTTATTGATTTTGCAGAATACACGGAAGCACACTCCTATGTTCATGGGAAGAGTGAGGCACTTTAAGGAAAAATAGCTAACTCCACCTCGCATAGATTAAGACGTACAACAACAGCATTTAGACTGTTCCCGCACTTCAGCCCGCCGCAATCTCTTTCCACACATATCCAATATCTAGTCTACCTCGGAGAGAATAAAAGCAGAAGGGTTCGTATTACCTCATCATCTTGATCTGACTCTGTCTCCTTTGGGTCCCAAGATGCATTGCAGAGACAAGGAATATTATAATGGACAGCAGGGAAAAGAGTGTCAGGATGTGAAAAAGGACTGAGTAGGGAGCACACAAGGCAAGCTGGTTTAGAAAGCACAGCAAATCAAAAGAAGCCAGTACAGCATCACGGACCACACATCCACGGCAAATTAACACGTGACAGTCATTTGGGAGCATTAACGGTCTACACACTACCAGCGGAAGCAATCCACAGAGGAAGGACTCCATCACACAGACGGGTAAGAACAGGACATCACAGCAACAAGACGTCATCTACACACGGAGACGAACACAACTCGAGTTTCAGGGGTTTTCAGAGTGTCACAAAGCATTCCTTCATTACATACCAAGGGCCCATTGCCTCAAGACCGGGGCGGGAGGTAAATGTGGAAACAAACCAGTCTTAAAAGATACCTTTTTATGTGCGGGTAGAGTAATATTTAAGTTGCAAACAGCTGTTTGGGGTAATCCCTTTGTTGTCTTCGGCTCTTTCAGGAAAGACAGACGGCCGCAGGGCTCTTGGCTGGTGTCTCTAACCTAGAAGAAATTTGGGAAATTGATGATTACATAAAGAGACAGATTCTTGTCTGAGGAAGGGTGAGATTTTTGTTTTATCGAGCGCTCAGAGAGAAGAATGGTAACCCAGGATAGACCTGGCAAGGTACTAGGGGCTCAGTTCCTGGTTTAAACATTAGGACGGCCACCCACTTGTCTCATGGGATAAGCTATTCTGGGCAATGTGCATTATCTGTCTTCCTATTAATTTAATTTAAAATTTCAGTGTTTGAAACATGGAACAGCAAGCGGTGATGACCACCAGAGTCTGCCCGAACCCCATGGAAACACAAACCAAAGTTAACTACGCATGCTACATATGGTCCATTCTGCATTGGGTTGCTTCATTTTATAAATATTCCTTTGAATTATTTAATTTTTATATTTTGGGATATTTTGAGACAGGGTCCTACAATGTAGATTTGGCTTGGAGCTCACTATTATACAGCAGGCTGGCAAACTCAGAGATCCACCTGCCTCCGCCTCCTCAAGTGTTGGGATTAAAGGTGTATACCACTACACTGGGTTCCCTTTCCTTACATTTAAATAATAAATATATGGATGTTCACCAATAACAAACTTTTACTAGCCTGAAAATTCATCCTAGGGGAATAAGAACAAAACCTGACCTTAAGTCATATTTAGTGAGTTAACTCAAACTAAATAAACCAATAAGCCATTTAAAAAGAGCATTTATTCTCTTGGAACTTTAAAATAATCGCAGAGTCGATGTTAGAGATGACTTACCTTGATGGAGAATGGTAGTCTGTTTTCTTTGAAAGAATAGAAGTTAAAAACAAGCTGCTGAGCTCCTTTGGTAAGAGGGGCCAGGTTTCCATAGCAATCAACGAATATGGGCTTTCCTTCCAGAACCTTCCAGAGTAAAAAAGAAATACGCAATTTAAAGTTAACTTGACCTAAAAGAATTTTGAGAGTTTTCAAGTCAAATAACATTCGAAGACCGATATAATTACATCACGATGAGAAAATGACTTCTCTGGGGTTGTTTGCTTTAAAAATATGTCAGAGCGCTTACACTCCAACGGCCGCTATTAGCAGCTATCATTACAGACAGAAATATAACAGAACTACCTTCCTCTTCCAACAACTTCAAACATGGCAGAGAAAATGCCCATCATTCCCTTACGTAGACTGAGAGAGAGCTGTCAGATTTTGGCTGGCTGATGCTCACACGATCTCTGGGTTTGAAAAGGAAAATTGTGGTCCTGTGTGTGGAAAGTGATCATACACACACACACACACACACACTCAAGATGGCTATCAGATAATGGAGAATAGTTTAGATTCATTAATATTCTGTTTTAACCACCTGATGTGAACTCAAAGCACTTAAATAATTTGAAGATGAACCCATTCCAAAGTTTTAAAATAAAACATGAACATCCTTGATATCTCCGTACAGTATGTGCCACTATGGCCCCCAAATAAGCCCGTATCTGGAGAATGCAATAGACACTCATTCCTGTGACCCCGTACCTCAATGTCTTTGCTCCTGGCAACCTCCTCGAAATTCTCCTGCTGCTCGAGGGTCTTGTCCACCCTGTCGTCCGTCATGCAGAAGCACCGCAGGCAGGACTCTACTGGGTCATTCGTTTTGGCAAAAACAACAAACTTGGCCATGTAAGGGACACATATCAACTCCCTGTACAGTTGCGAGGCTAGCCCTACGGTTTCTAAAACCTGGTGGCAGTCTGCAAGCCAAAACCTGAGAGAAACAAGACACAATGTGTAAAACGGAAAAAGCAAAACCCAATAATAACAAAACTCCAAAAATAAACCCCAAAGAACTCACAAAGAAGAAAATCATGGGCTGGGGGTATGACCCCCTGGTAGACCAAATTTTTAGCATGTTTATCCCCAACATCAAAAATAAATTAAATTATGAAATACAGTGAAAAAAATCAGAGTCTAACAGATCCCAAGTCAAGCATTATAAAATCGCTCATTTAAATGGCAAAAGTATTTACTCTCTCTCAAGCAAAAAGCAATTTATTCCTCAATAATTTTTCTAAAAAAAAATTAAGGACCTTCTATCCTCTCCCATAAATTTAGAAGTAATTAATTATATTGACAGCAACATTTTTTACTTCCCCAGAAGTTGGTGAGAAAATGAATTGCGTGGCACTTCTGGAACTTTCACTTTCATACCTGGCCGAAACATTGGTAGTGAAGGAGACACAGTCCTTTATGAAGGTCAGAGGCGTGGTTCCTGTGATGTCCTCCCACTGAGCGGGCGAGGTGCCCCCTGGGAATGGCACAGAGTGACTTTATCATAAAGCAGCTCCCTGCAGACTAACTGCCCGTGACCTGGCTGCTCTTCCGGCAGCCACTAAGAGGCCAGCTACGGCATTCTGCGATTCTGTGGTTCTGTGAAGTCTGGATTTCTAGAGTTCCTTTTGCATTTGTGTGTGTGTGTGTGTGTGCGTGTGTGCATATATGTCACACACGTATGACTCTGTGGGTGTGTGTATGTGTCAAAACTTGCTAGACTCAGTTCTTCTGTCATGTGGGTTCTGGGTATTGAACTCGGGCTGTCAGCCTTGTATGTAAGCACCTTTACTTGCTGAGCCATCTTTAGGGCTTGAGGTCTGGAGTCTAGGTACCTAAAACAAAATGGATTCTAAGGCTTGGGTGGCACTCATGAGCACAGCTGGGTGACACCGATGGCATCCTCAGTACTTCCCATTCAGGCTATGGAGGACCTTCCCCCCAAAACTCAACTCATGCTGACCTCTGTCATGGCTGCCAAGAAATTCCCTAAGCACTCCAGTTGAGTCAATGACACCTCAACAACACTAAGAGGGCTTGATTACTAATCCACTAACATCAGGAAACAACCTCGAGGTTTAAATATCCCAGTAGTCCCTGGTGGGAATTCTTCCACTGAGAGGATGGAAGAGGTTAAATGCATGACTTATTCCTTGTTTCCTACTTTCTGTACCTCCGCACACAGTCTGGCAGACATAGTGTCGCTCCGGGGAAGGAGCCAAACCTGTAATGCTGCAGAGGAGACGAAGGTTGGGCGTGGTGTCTCCCTTGTACCCGTTGGACACGCCTTCTCCTGAGGGTGGGGGCACCGGAATGGTCATGGTGATCGGCTTATGGAATTTCCTCCTCCTTGGTTCCACAGTGACAATCGGGCTAAATGTCGCCTTGTTTCCAAGGGTCTTCTTCACAATCTCCTCTGGAACAGGCTGAGCCTACAGACACAGGGGGAAAAAAATAAAAGCAAAACCTTAAATAAAAGTAGACTTTTTTTTTTTTTTTAATCAGAAGATGTAACTTTAGTTGAGAATGGCGGGAGGATACCTGCCAACAAATCCGTGTCTGTCTTTCCACTCTCCCTCACTGCTTCAGGAAGGCAGAGAAACGAAAGGACCCTAACATGGGCAGGAGTGGTTTCCTCAGGGAGAGGACCATACTGGCTTGCTGGGAGGAGGGGCACCCAACTCTCAGAACAAAGAGGAGGAAAGCAAGAACAACCTTAGTATATGCTAACTCTGCTGGATGCCCCCCCCCCAAAAGCCTCACAAAATTACCCTGAATACAAAAAAGTAAACTGAGGCTCTCAGCGGTGAGGACACTCTATACCAGAAGGGATGAATTCTACCAGTCAGGCCTAACTTACTCCATTTGGTGTCTTGCAGTCTGGCGAAGTGGTCCAGCATGGGGGTCACGTGAAGGGAACCTTACCGACACACGGGGCTTACAACTGCTCACAACCCCACCCCCCAAACAACCCCTCAGAATGAGAGTCTAGCCTCACAAACGAAAGCTGACGTTCGTTCAGTTCAAGTTTTAATCACTGTATTAACAACAAAAACGATCATTTCATCGTTTCTGTTTATCTTATGCAATAAAACAAGCGTTAAAGGCTAGAATGACTGAAATGAGTAAATACAAGAAAGGTCAGTTTTGCCAAGAGGTGTCTTTCTCAAGTGCTCCCCGCCTTGCTTTCTGAGACAAGGTCTCTCAGGATATGGAGCTATTGGTTTGTCAAGTCTGCCTGGGATTCTCTTTTCTCTGCTCTTCCCCCATCCTCAGTGTATGTCCCCAGACCTGTCTCTTTTTAAATGGGGCTGGGGATTGAACTCACGGTTCTCATGCTTGCTCAGAAAGCCTTTACCAGCTGAACCACCGCCCCAGCTCTGAGTAAATGGAAATTTACTAAAAGTTCATAACCTTGTTTGACAGGTCAGTAAGCTAACTTCACACTTAAATACTTTCCATTTGAGATAAGTCAACAATCTCCCCCCACCATCTAATTATTGACATGACAAAGGATGAATTACTGCCATGCTTCTGGAGCAGGACGTGCTCATAAGTTCTTTACATGTCCAGAGGCCTTGGGAAGTCGACGCTTTGCGATCAGTACCTGGAGACCCACTCGGATCCTTTTGGTTAAGGCACCCTCTGGGAAAGACGCCTGGACCAGGGGGACGGTAGTGCTGCTCAGAATCCCGCCTTCTGGACCAATCTGGTTGCTTTCCTGCTTAATCCGGGAAACTACTGCGAAATACTGGGGGAAATCCTTGGTGATGATCCTGCAGATCCGCTTCGTCCCCAACTCTTCTGGGCTGTCAAGCTCTGGAAGACGGAAAGGATGAGAAGCCATGAGCAGGTGTCTTTGCACACAGCCCCGCCATGAGCAGGTGCTTTGCACATAGCACCTTGACACCCATTGGTGTTTAAAACAAGGTATTCAGTTAGTATAAAACCAACTTTGTGACTCCTATGCCTGCCTGTAAGATCATGTAGTGTTTGTCTATTGTGCCTGCTTCAACTCCCAATCTTAATAGTTGATTATCGTTCTACTTAGTAGTTATAGCATATCTATCTATACATATACATACATAAATAATACATACATTTACATGTGTATAATATGTAAATATATTATATGTTTATATATACATAAAGAGGGATCATAAAATATCAAGCTTTGCAAAGATACCATAAATCTATTAATAAATTCTGCTTGGGAGAACAAACATCTTTAACACTGGACTTGGTGGGCAGTCATGGTGCGTGTCTAGTTGAGTTTAGGGCAAACCTTCCTGTCCAAGACTGGAAATCCAGAGCTTTGGTAAAAGGCTGAGGGTGGGACTGAAGATGGCTCCTTGGTTGAAAGTACTTCCTGCTCTTCTAGAGGGTTCCAGTCTGGTTTCTAGCACCCCATGTTGGGTAGCTCATAACTACCTGTCACTCCAGATCCGGAGGATCTGACACCCTCTTCTGGCCTCTGTGGGTAGCCACATACACTACACCCATGCAAGTATGCACACAACAAACTTCAATCTTTAAATAAAAAGCAACATCTCTGAGGTCATCACTTGGATCCACTGATGGCAAATCCATACACACAAGCCATATGAAAGTGGGAATTATTAATGCCATTTTGACTTGGCTCAATTTTTTTCCCCCCAAGTATCTCATTCCAGAGGCTATTTTGAAACCTTTTCCTTTTCTTTCACTCTGCAGCAGTTTTCATTCAGTTGGTTTAAAATGCCAGCTTATGGAGACGGATGGAAAAATACGTAAACATTTATTTTGTGATTTGTTTTGGGATTCTGAAGTAAATTGTTATTTATTTACTGGGCGCTTCAAATGCAACCTTGAGTCGGGAAACTTTCTGTTTGGAAAACTTTTTCAAAACTGTTACTACCAGATGATTCCGGCAGATGGCGCTGTGTGCCGTGTACCTAGTGTAAAACTCCACACCCGTCCCTGTTTGACAGTGACTTGGCACTTTTAGAATTACCACTTGCTTCAAGATTGATAAGGTTAAAATGCATTGAACCCAAGTGCCAGTTTTGAACGTAGACATTTACTTCTAATATACTGTTGACACAGATACATTTAGAAGTGGGCGTATTCTTCTAGGTAGCGTGGGTAACGTTTGCACACATTTTCACTTTTATCAGGAACTTGCATCCACTGGCTACTGCAGGGGACTGAGGGAGATAAACCATTTCTCAAGTGCTTTGAATTGTAACTTGGGGACTTCTGGGGAGGCCGGGGGCCTTCAAGAGCATGCTCCCAGGCTCCACACGACTACACATATCTCCTAGGAACTGACTTTGGAGGCGCTGGGTTTAATTAAGGTTTTCACTAAACTGACAGTGTGGATTCAGTTTGGTGCACAGCTTGGGGACGGGATGTGTGCATGGGAATTCTGTTTGCACATCTGCAGCCTCTACATAGATAAGATCTCTGTCTGCTGCCAGAGATAAAAACTGCTTCTGCCACCTGCAAGCCCAGTTGGAAAGGGCAGGTTCCCCACACCCAGACAAACACTGTCTTCCCAGCAGCTTACCTCGCCACAGCTGGGCTAACATGCCTGCTCAGTTCACATAACCACTGACGCCCTGGCCTGCTTAGAGATCATAGGAATAGGGGTCGGGGAAGGCAGCTCGGTGCAAGCGTGACCACCTGAGTTTGGATCCCCAGTACCTACTTACATGGCCTGGCATGCCTATGCAATCCCAGTACTGCAGTCTGGAGGTGGGGGGATGGGAGTGGAGAAGGGAGGGGAGCTGGGACTTGCTGGTCACTTAGTCTACGGTAAAGGGGAAAGCTCCGGGTTCAGTGAGAGACCCTGTCTCAAGGTAATAAGGTGTAAAATGATAGAACTGCACACCCAATGGCCTTGTCTAGGATGGACACACACACACACACACACACACACGTAAGGGTTTATTTTGGTTCATAGTTTAAGGGTAGAGTTTAATCCTAAGGGTAGGGTTAATCATAGTAACAGGACCTTAAAGCAGTCTTATCCACCCAGCAAGCTGGAATGGTGAATATTTGTGCTCAGCTAGCTTTCTCTTTTGATACAATCCAAGACCCCAGTCCAGGGAATGGTGCCACTCACTTTGAGGGCACCCAACGGGGGAGGGGAGGTTCTCTCACAGGCAAGCCTGCAGCCTAAAAATAATACCTCCCAAGTGTGGCTGAGTGCTCACCTCCTTGGGTGATTTCCAGTTCTCTCTGGACAAGAATTCAAAGCAACCTTCACAACGAGCATGCTCCATTTGAGAATATATAGAGGCGAACGTGTACAGTACAGAAAGGCTACTGACTGGGTAGGGAAGAGGCGAGGGTTTGGAGATCTACATCTGTTGACTACTTCTTGACTGGGTAGTGGTAAGCGCTTGACCTTGTCTGTGCGTCTGCAAACAGTGCTCACTTGGGAGACAGAACTCCTACAGGCAGATAGCTTGACTTGCAAACAACAGCACTGAACAAATGGGGGAAACATGCCCCTTTGTCCTTAGGCCAGTGTCAGACCACAGCCATCTATGTACAGCATGCGTGGCGGCCGTGACTCTGAGCATGGTTACATGAGTGAGTGGTTCTGCACAGACATCTCTGTAAGAACTGCATGCGTACCAGTGCATCCACAGCATCCACTGCCCAGGAGCCACCCACAAGGCATCCTCACAAGGTGCATTTAGATGAACATTAGAGAGACTGGTTACAGCCACACGGCAGTGAGTGGTGAGGCCAGGGTGGGAATTTTGGCCTCAATGACTTCCGTGGACCATGGTGCCAAGGTCAGTATCGAACTGGGAAAATGATGCCCCTACTCAGACCTCTGGTTCCTTGAAGTTGTTCTAGCAATTACTTTTGTATGCATGAGAAAACTCTGTGTATGTTAAAACAATAAAGCCTATCTGATAGTTATAAGTCTTTTATTTTTCTTCTGGCGTGTGTTTGTGTTTGATTGTTTGTGCGTGTAGAGGCCTGAAGCTGAGGTCTGGCATCTTCCCTGAAGGAAGGGTTTCTTGAAGGATGGTTTCTTGCTAAATCTGGAGCTAGCCAGTTTGCCTCTGGGACACCCATCTTTGTCCCTTGAGTGCTGGGACTGCAGGCAACTGCCAGGGCTGGGCAGATTTTAGGGGGCTCTAGGATCCAAACACTGGCGCCTATGTTTGCATGGCAAGCATTTGTCCACTGAGCATCACCCCAGCCCCCACAATTGCCTCGCCTGGTAAGAATTGGAGACTGGAATATTGACTAAGATGGTATTAAAAACATGGGGGGGGGGAGGTGGAAATTTTTAATAAAAAATTAATTAAAAAATACATAGGTATTAATATTTTCAGACAATCGCATGGAGAAGATGGACTATTTAAATACGGTCTAAAATAATGCATGGAACATACTTATGAAGAAGGGAGCATTAAAAGGAGACATTTATAGTAGGCATATGTTAGGGGGTAGGTGGTGTCACCGGCCATAGACAATGTATGACACTATTCTGACTAGAGAAACTGTTGCGTTGAGTACAGGAACAGTGAGGGTGATTTAATTCTCTAAGGAAATCTTGAATGGTTGGTTGTTCTATTTCACGTGTTGCTTTTTCATCTCACTAACAGCTGTCAGCAAGAATTGGGAGGAACACAGAGCGAAGCTATGCTCTTGACCCCTGAGGGTGGGACCCTGACGATATTTCTCTTTCGCCAGGGCATCACCTGATTCATGCCAGATAGCTGGCATCTACCTATGCAGCATTGCCTCCTCGGGAGGGTTTGGAGGAGTTCTGGGCACGGACCTCCCGCCAGGTCCTCAGCTCCACTTCCTTGGGACAACTTTAGTCTATAGTTGAATCTTCAATGAAAAGGACTTGCTGACTTTAAAAACAAAACCCAGACTGATTCCCATTTTTAAGTAGCTTTGGGTAGAGGAAGAGTCTAGAGAGAATGAATTATCTTTGGGGACCAGAACAGGGGTAGAAAGTGGTGGGACTTGAGGCCGGTATAAAATCAGATTAACTAATAACTGAGCCTCAGTTATAAATGTGTTGGGCTCCTTCTATTATTATTATTATATTTAATATGTGACCAAAATTTTACTCTGAACATCTTGGTCCACTGGGCTTTAGTGCTTGACTCTTTAAACGCCAAAGTGTCTACCTTTCCCTTTCATCGTGTGAAATGGAACCGAAGATTTGCCTGCTCTTAAGAATGTAGTCCAGAAATTCTATCTACCTGGCAGCGTTTGTACACACTTTGGATAATCTACCCTCATTTAATGTATCACTGACCTACAAGGACTGCTCTGGACTTAATCTTGACCAAATCTCATCTGGACCAAATCTAGAAGTTTCTAGAATTTTCCACTTGTCTTCTTTCTCCTGGGACATGCGTTTTGAAAACAAGAGGGCTATAGCTGTAACTCTTCTAAGACAGGCACAAGATATTTCAGCCCTCTCCCTTCTGCTTAGCAAGGCAAGCTGGGTAAGTCACTTGGGTTTGAAGGATGTCCGTTTTGTGGTTTGTTAAGTAAGAATAAGATTTGGCTAGAGAGTTGGTTCAGTGGTTAAGGGCACTTGTTGTGAAAGACCCAGGTTCGATTCCCATCACCCATGGAGAGACTCACCACCTCCTCAGGGAACAAGCACACATGTAGTACACAGACACACATACAGGCAAAATACACATACAGATAAAATAATAATAATAATAAAGAAATAAAGAATATGATTTCTGAACTTGTGTACTATGGTTTCTTTTAAACTTCTACATGAAATGGCTTTTTTTTTTTTTAAAAAAAACTCCCCAAATCTGAATACCTCCATGGTCCACAGTCTAAACCCACAAGAGAGCCCGGTAGGTGAATTCCAAACACAGCCAACAAAACAATAAAAGATTCGATTTTGATTTTATGGACCAGATTGCCACTGTGACGTAAAACAGCTGTAGAATCTGCACCAATTAGGAAATGAAGTCGCTGTCACTAACTGGGATTAGGGAACGAGGTCGCTGTCACTAACTGGGATTAGGGAACGAGGTCGCTGTCACTAACTGGGCTTTCTTTCCATAGCACCATTTCAGGAGCCAGGCCTCTAGCTTTTCTTGAGTCACGTCTCATCAAATGTGTGTTCTTAAAGTCAGTTGGTACCCAACACTTAGAAAGAAAAGCATACACTTCTAAGCATCACCAAACCTCAGGAAGGTGTGTGAGTCAGGCAAGGGTTACACACAACTATAATCTTAGCTCTGAGAAGGCCAAGGCAGGAGGGTCAAGTGTTCAAGGTCATCGTTACTATGTGGGCTACAGGAAATCCTATCTTAATGCCTGCAGACACTCCCCAAAAGAAGGGATGTGTGGGAAAGAGACCTGTAGCCACACACTAGCCTCACCAACTCAAAGAATAAGACATCAAAACATACAAATGCCAATAAGTTTTGACATTTATTTTTAAAACACCATTATGGCTCAAGAGAGAGTTAAAAAAAAATCATGAAAGATGCTGGAATAAGTTAAGAGAAAATGGAACAAAAGTTCCAAAAATATACTATAAATGCTAATGATGTAGGCAAATATTATATACTCCCATCTGATGCTCCCCACCCCACCCCACCATGCTACTCTTTCAACAACAACAACAACAACAAGAAAAGCCTTCTTAGGTCTTGGAAAAATGGAGAAATTTGGAACAATGTGGTTGTTTGTCCGTCTAAACCATGGTGGTGCTAGGAATGTAGTAGGGTCAGATAAAATCATGCCTTAGGCATGGAAAGGAGAAGTAGATGCTGAAGACCCTGCATTCTGCATCATGTGATGCTCAAGTAGCCCCTCAACCACGCGACACTTGCTCTCTGCCTGTCCACATCCGCGGAAGGGAAGGAGTATCGCTCTATCGTTACCTTCATCCATGCCGTTCAGTAGCTCGGTGAGGTCTTCGTTTTTGCTGTCAAACTGGTGCTCCTTCCAGGTCTCCCCATTCTCACTCCGGAGAACAATGAGTTCCCTCTCCTTTCCTCTCATGGACCCAAAATGAGGGATTTCCACTATGACAGGGCTAGAAAACAAGAAGCCACCGGATTTTTTTGCGTCAAATTAAACATCTCTATAGCAGAATACTAAAAGAAAAGTCTCATTAACAGTACTGAGTTGGAAATCAGAGGTGCCATTTGGGTTGGGAATGGTCTCAAAGCTGCAGAATCATTGCTGATTAAATAATATTCCAAGCCCAAGAACATGCCGTCATTCATTCACAAATGGTTCTTGAAGGCCTACTGTGTGTTAGGCGTCCAATTGAGTGGGGGAGATTAAACACATATAAATAGGTAACTGAAGGAAGGAATTAGACATGACTAAAATAGGCCATAAAGAAAGGAAGCTGGTCCATTTTGTAAAAAAATAAAACACATAATAGGTACATTATATAATACGAGATGCTAATGAGTTAAAAGGACACAGTCACTTTAAAAAAAAAAGAAAATTGCGAAGGTCATTTCTCTATTTTTTTTCCCCTCAGCAATAAAGCAGACATTATATTGTCATATAATTCAGTCCTTCCAACAGTTTGTATGATTTTGTGGCTAAGACAGTTTCTCTGGTTGTTCCATTTGTGAATAGGGAATGGGTAGCCTCATTGCCTGACCTGACTACCACCTATCTGGGGATACTGGAACATTCCAGAAGAGCACATGCCAGCTGGAAATTGTCATAGGAAGGCATTAACTCTTTTTTCTTTCTTTCTTTCTTTCTTTCTTTCTTTCTTTCTTTCTTTCTTTCTTTCTATTTTTTTTTTTTTTTTTTGGTTTTTCAAGACAGGGTTTCTCTGTAGCTTTGGAGCCTGTCCTGGAACTCCCTTTGTAGACCAGGCTGGCCTCGAACTCACAGAGATCCGCCTGCCTCTGCCTCCTGAGTGCTGGGATTACAGGCGTGCGCCACCACTGCCCGACTTGGAAGGCGTTAACTCTTGACAGTGTCCTTTTGCACAAACGAACGAAGGGGAATGGCTGCAGATTGGAGATTGCCAATCAACTCAAGGGAGATCATTTCGTCAGGTTTGACAGAATTACGGGTAAAAAGATGTATGGAAGTGAGCAGACCACAATCACACACAGTTCATGTACAGTTGGATTGTGCAGCTTTCTTGGGTGATGCTTAACAGACAGTATCATTGTTCTCTGGAGAGGTTGTACACAACCTGCCTTAACCTAGCTGTTTATATACACACCGTAGCAGCAAATACAGGCTTCGGTAGGCAGAGCATGAGGAGAAACTGTCGTTAAAGATCAAAGCCACAAATGAGACATGAAGATCTGGTTACTCAATAAAAGTATTCGTTTAAAACGAGACTGATGGATACAATGATTTTACTTTTGGCTAAGATCATTATAAATTTTTATAATGCCTTTATTCTTTCACAGGTTAAAAACAGAAGCAAATATTCCTCTCAGTGTTATTTTCAACCGTACTTCACAATTAGACATTAGGCATCACTTGTTTTTTTTTTCGAGAACAAGATACAATCTTTGCGGGTTAATGTGTCCAATACTATCCCTGTGGCTTTGTGTAGGACACTCGACAATGCTGTTGAGAAGGTATAAGCAGGATCTTTGACCAAGGTGACAGCCAAGCAGGACAATTCGTAACAGGCTTTTCATGCAGACTGCCAAGGCAAACACAGTCGGAGAGACAAACGAACAATGACACATTTCCGCCTAACCGAGACAAAAAGACACTCGACAACTCAACAGAACATCCCGGCTGCCCCCAGTCACATTTCCTTAAAGATCTTGTGTTCTTGGTACATTCAAAATTATCTTACTTCATTGATCTCTTTTGCCTCACAAAGCCCATAAAGATTACACTGTACCATAAGTGCCTTCTAGGTCTAATCACACCCACAGATACACACACACACAGGCAGGCACGCACACACACACAGCATTTGTGGCAAACATTGATTCAAAGCCTGCAAATACCTTCTCTTACTCTGGTTAAAATGAGACGGTCGGTCTAGCCTTAATAAGTACACAGAGAAGAAACATTTCAAATTAAAGGAGGGGTGACAGATGCACAAGGTCAGCGGAATGCTCGCGGTGAGTCCCACATGCTTCGAAAGCACAAGGTAGCGGCAGTGCCACAATAAGTCAAGCCACTATGGGAGTTGCCTTTCAGTGACACACATCGACTGAAAGCATAAAAAAGAAAACAAAAGAAAGAGAGAAAGAAAGAAAAAGAACAAATGGAAGACAAGAATAAGACCATGGGTGTGACAGAAAAAAAATTGAAAATGGAAAGGAAAAATTGTAGACATTCTGATCTTGTCTATGAAGGTCCTACCCAATAAATTTTGTTCCTTGAGGCCCAAGCTGCAGGATTCGGCTAACCAAGCTCTCGCCCTCATTTACAGGGGGAGGATGGGTGGGTAGGTGCAGTTTACTGAGTAACATCCATGCAGCAGGAAGAGAAACAAGAGGGGAGATTGTGAACACGCTGTCTGTCACGACAGAGCCTGCCTGCCTTGCCAAGTGCCACCTCAGACAATGAAGCAAAATTCAGTTTATCTTCTCGGAAAATACCCTACCCCAGGGGGATATGTCTCTCAGAGTTATTTTGAAAGAGATGCATCCGCAAGGTAGCCATCTAGGCAGTGAGGTGCCACCATCCCAACCTGTAATATTTTCTAAGGTTGGTGCCTTGACTTCTGTGGGAGGCTGCGGGGAGCCACACACCCGTGGGGCAGCAAGCATGCTTTTTGGTTAGTAAGTGCCTTGGCCAGTGACTGAGTTAAGGAACCCATAGCCTATTATGCAGCATGGTCACCTTGGTGACCTTTGACACCACACCCAAGTCCCCGTTTTTTTTTTTTTTTCAGAGTTAATGTCTTGAGTTAGCAAGGACTAAAGGAAAGTCAAAGACATGGTGAGAGGGCCAAAGTAAAACTGGGGAGACTTACCCTAAAAATTGTGCCCCCGCAGGACCCATTTCTACCAGCCTACTGGCTAATCCCTCTCCTTCCACCATGGGGGGTGGGTTGGCCAGTTTATGTCTCTTTACCAGGCGGCAGGTGATGCGGGTGGGGGCTGTACACTTGCGTGGGGGGATGATGATCCGCATCCCATGGTGGCGGCTTCCTCGCATGGAGCCCCCTCTCGCGTCCACCATAAAGCTAACGAGAAACCTGTGGAAGGAAAGATCAGATGCCATCACCAACAGAAGTCAACTTCAACTTGGCAGAGCATTTGAAACTCAAGGTAAATGTATGGAAAAAGGCAGCTGGTGCGACTTCTCTAACACAACGTTGGAAGCCACTACTGTGGGGTCACATCAGACGTGCATGGAGCTCACACTCAGGGTCAAGACCGAAAGACAACTGGGTTTCCATGGAAGGAAGCTCCCTCCCAGGAGGCAAGGAAATCACCATGGGCACAACACAACGGCACAGAGAAGGAACAGGAATATTCTTCAAGTTGGAATTGAGATGATCTATGAGAGGAACACAGATTAAAAAAAAAAAAACCACCATTTTCTGTAGCCTTTGAGGATGCATTAGGGGACAGTCAAGGGCCACATCTTCACTCTATCTAGTTCCTCCCCTAACCTATTTATGTGACCTCACTCCAGTACACGTTGGATGAAACTCCACAGCGTAGCATAACACACACAGCTTGTGAGACAAAGGGACAATTCACTCGTACCAACACCCTTCACACTTACGAAGATGAAATAGAAAAAGAAAAGCAGGCGACTTTAGATTTGCTGAGATTTTGCTGGAAAGGGATTAAATCTTTTCAATAACCATTTAAAAGATAGAGGCTAAAATGCTAATTAAAATCACCTGTATTTGAATTTTCTGCGGGGTAACAGAAGTAGAACTTAAACATTACTTCCTGGGGTGTCTATATTTGTCATCGGCCTTTAGGTCAGAGCTAATAAGGAAAATATTTTGCCTGCATGTAGCTATATCAGTGGAAGGCTTTTTCTGATGGTGATGGGCACTTTAGTAAACACGAAACCAACAGACAGGTGGCAATGCAAACATACTCTTACGTGCTAAATTTTAGAGCTGAAAACAGACACACAACTCAAGTAGCACCAGGGAGTGATGCTCAGCAAGCACAGCGGCTCCCTATGGTACCATGTTAAGAAAATATTCCTATCCACCAACATTCTTCTCTATATAATTACCTAAGCATGGTGCTAACATCCTGCCAACAGGCCTGAAGCCCCTGCGTAGCTGTGGCTTTCCTAGCAAGGAAGACATCCTCGACAAACTGGACTGAGAGAGCCAATGGGTGGAGAGAGTCCTTGGACTGAGCGTGTTTCCTTTATCAACTGCTCACCGGGGAAGTGCATTCACCTTTTGCTCGGGTTTTGGATTGAACTATTTTTTTTTTCCCTCTCTGTTGTTTCATGTGCTTACCATTAGTCTAGCTATCTTGAGAGGCTTTTGCTTCTAGGATATTCAAGTCAGGAGAGGGAAAGGCCATCTCAAAAATAAGGAGACAGTAAAAACAGTCTCCCCTCTCTCCTCAGCGAAAATGGCTATCTGCTTCCATTCGCCATCCGGGCTCCCACATGAATTATTTCCAATGCAAAATGGCCTGTGGCTCCTCTGAAACGGTTCTGAAGTGCTTAATTTTCTTAGCTACACATGTATTATTCACTGTGTGTGTGTTTGTGTGTGTGTCCACTTGAGCGTCATGTGGTTTTGTTCAATAACAAAGGCACTCCAACGAGACAACAGGACAGAAATCTCAGGTTTCTCTGTAATTAGGGGTGAAGATCCTATTACTGCTAGGTGTATGAGGAAGGATGCAGCATGAACTTGGGCTTGAAATCGTGCTCGTGCGAATGCAAATGCACACTGGAAAATTTGCCTGGATTACGGGTGCTGCACTGACCACAGCAGAGCCTTAACAAAGCAAACAGCACTTTCAGATCGGGCTGCCATATTCACCACATGACCTGCAGGGCCCAGCAGAGTCCCAGCACATGGTAAACACATGGCAATGTTGGCTGAATCCATCTATGAGCAAAATTCCCCTTCGAGTGCTTAGAAACAGCACTTGGCTACCGAGACTAATAAATGGACGTGCAAACAGGGGTGCAGGGTGCCGTCAGTTGAGTGGTCTGAAGGTAGCAGAGGAAGGTTTTTGGGGGGCCAGTATAGGACTGTGCCAGCTACGAAGATTATCAGAGTAAACGGAGTGAATAGCTCAGAGGATCTGAATGGCAAACTGGAAGAACCTCCTACTGGACACTGCAGAATACATGGTGCATTGGGTGTGGTTGCAGCCATTTATGGTTCTAATTTCAAAGAGCTAACAGATGGAGGGAAGATGGGAGTGGGCTGGGCAGGCCATTGGCGGCACTGTGGAACACAGGGATTTTTTCTCCACACTCACTCTGTACAAGATCTGAGCAAAACCCAAACGACATGCAACATGAGCTGCAGCCACAAAGAGAAACACACGAAGGCTGATGCTTCAAAATCTCTTTATCGCGTTGCTGCTCAGATTACGTCACGGGTGCCACGAATGCCCGCCGCGGCGGCTACGCTGGGGCGTCTAGTTACGCAAACAGCAAACAACGACAGGGCGACGCGTGCGGACATTCTACAGACACCGACGCCATCTAACTGGGGGAAGTCACGTGAATGAAAAGGACACAAAGGACACGGTTATCACCTTGAGTCATACTGAGGCAGCGGAGACGAGAAGCTGCAAAATAATTCAGAAAGCAAATGGGAGAAATTAATGCACGGTCATTAGAAGCAAGCAGCAGACAATGTCAATGACACGCAGAAAGGAAAAAACTCAGGAAATGAGACCACGGCACTTCGCATTCGTGGGACAGCCTGCGACGAACGTTTGCCTTAGCCGCTGTAGAACACAGTCCTCAGACCCTGGCATCAGGGTTTGGAATTTCCAAGTGGGGCTTTTCCCTCTCTGGCTGTCATTGCATTTGCTGTGTACATGGCTGTCTTCAAGAGAAATTAAAGAAATATACCCTAATGCATTTATTATTTTAATGTGTGTGTATTGTGTGCATGTTTGTAACATATATGTATGGTTCGTGTGGTGTGTGTGTGTGTGCACATGTGTGTGCCTGTGCCACAGTGCACACAGAGAGGTCAAAGGACAGCCACGGCTGCTGGGCCTCAGTTTCCACCTGTTTGAAGCAGGGTTCATTGTTGTTCACTGCGGCCAATGCCAAGTTAGTTGGCCAGCCATCTTCCAGGGATTCTGGCTGTCTTTTATCTCTCTTGAGGAACGCTGGAGTCTAGTTGCTGCTCCAGCATCGGGCTTTAAATGGACAGAGTGGGTATTTGCCCAAGTGCTTTCTCCACTAAGCCATCTTGCTAGCCTAGTACTTAATACTTTAGCCATCATTTTTCTCCCATTTCTATGGTTATCAGTTACCTCACAGTGAATTACCGACTAAAGGTTCCAGCATGGGAAAGCACACTGGCTATCAGGTCACTTGTCACAGCAGGTCACCATCCAGTCTTCTGCCACCAGACAGGGATGAGGAACCCTTTGATGAGGCTCTTATCAGCACTGCTGGGGTACATACATTGGTGCCATAACATTTTCAAAGTAGATTTCTCTGTTTTCTCTTAAGATTCATTTCTTTTTCCTAATTTTAACAATTGCAATTTTTATTTCCGGAATGTTAGAAGGTGCCAAAGTCAGCTGGAAATGTTCAAGCTTACAGTTTCTTTTTAAAAATGGTAATGCCATAAAACAAATCACCGATTTAAAACGAGCTGATAGCAAATGAGAGGAAACTGAAAACAACAGAATACATTTGCTCACAGGGACACTGGATCGGTTAGTGAAGTGAATCTATAATTCATTGGATGTTTGTGTGCACAGATGTGCACATTTTTGTGTGTGTGTGTGTGTAAATGCATGTGGTCACAGGTGTTGAGTGTGCCCCTCTGTGTATGTGCATGTGGTTGAGTGTGGTCCTGTGTACATGTGCCTGTGGTTGAGTGTGGTCTTCTGTGTATATATGCAAGGGGCTGAGTGTGCGTATGTGCATGATTGAGTGTGCCCCTGTGTGTATGTGCGTGTGGTTAAGGGTGCTTCTGCATAGAGATCAACTTTGTGCTATTCCTCAGGCTAAGTTTCATTGACCTGGAACTCAGCCATTAGGCGAGGGCAGCTGGCCTGCAGACCCCAGTGATCTGCCTGTCTGTATGACCCTCTCCCTCCCTGGAATGACACGTGTGAGCTACCACACTCGACTTTTTTCTATGTGGGTTCTGGGGAATTGAACCCAGGTCCTCACACTTGTGTGATAAGCATTTACTGACTGAACTGTTTCCCCAGCTCTATATTTAATATTTCCATAGGGAAGAAAAATCAGATACATATTTTTAAAAGCCTCATTTGAGGAAATAAATTAAGAAAAATAACTTGGTTTTAAACCTTTTTCATTGAAAGAGAATTTTAAAGAGTCTCAAAAGATCATAATGGTTAGGAAATTTTGCTGTATCGGCCATCAGCTGTTTTCTGATCCTCCACTTTTAAGAATAAGCACAGACAGACTTGTCCCCCAAAGTACTTACTAAATGATTTACAAAGGCAAACCACACACTCTCACGAATGAGCATTTATTTCCGAGGTGAATATGTTCATGGATAGATGGAGGTTTTCAACAGGCACGGATAACGCTAACTAATAAGTACAATGTGAGTGGACCGGAATAAGGAGAGATGACGTGCGAGCACTTACCCGGAATGCACGGGGCTTGAGACCAGGTTGACATTGTCTAAGGTGTCTGCAGCCCAGCTGTAGTGTCTGAGAGAATCTGAATCAAACTCCCTTGTGAATGTTAGGTGCTGAAAAATAAAACAGTGAGCGACATCAACCACCCGCCCAAGATACCAGTTCTCCTTATACATACAAAGTACATCTGGGTTTCTTGGTAAGCCTGGATAAGCTAACACTCAATAGCAAGAATTTGCAAATCCTGCTCGTGAGGACTACATTAGGGTCTGTATAGAAGAACACTTAAAAAAAAAGTGTAGTGACAAAATATTTCATTTGGAAATCCTAAGAATGCACCCTGCCATTAACCACATGGTAAAGGAAACATTGAGAAATTAATTTGCTTGCTTTTCAATAGTCCACTTTTGATTCAGATGAATCCTACAACTACCAAATCCTTCTTAGTCTCCAAATGTAGATTCGATCTTGATGTCTGTTATGCTTATGGGCCACGGTGGCCGACAACAGGCTAGTCTCCCACCAAGAAGTCTTGATGAAAATATAGAAACTCTGAAGAAGCAGAGGGCAAAGGACATTGAGAGCGGAATGCCTGAGAGTGGAACCCCTGAGACAGGGGTTCACTTTCTGTCATTTCTGACTTGGGAACGGTAAATGTAGACAGAACAGGTGTTTATGTCTACAAGGATGGCTGCTGAAGAAGACGAAGCCCAGGAAGGTTCTGATGGAGGGTTGGGTAGCCTCGAGCATGCTCTCTCGTCTTCTAAGGACACTGTGGGGCTCTGGAGAAGGGAAGCTGAAAATCTATCAAGAATAATCCCACCAAGTATGCGTGAGCTTGCCAGCAGTTTCATTGTGGATGAAGATGTAGAATTTATAGTGGAAAAAGGACCCAAAGATCATGCCAGGATTGCAAACAAAGATTCAGGAGGCTCCAGAGTACTTGCCCCATTGCAACAAAAACTTGATTGAATTGAAGTGGCCATCCAGAGCAGAAAGGACAACTCAGCAATAAAAGTCCTTCTGCCCAAGCCTGCTGACCTGGGTTCAACCTCTGGAACCCACATAAAAGTCAGATGTAGTAGATACAAGATGGGAAATAGAGACAGGAGACTTGATTTCTCTCTCTCTCTCTCTCTCTCTCTCTCTCTCTCTCTCTCTCTTTCTCTCTCTCTCACACACACACACACACACAATAGTATTAAAATTAAACGTGGGAGAAAATATAAGAAATCAAAGATCAACACAAGAGGTTTGAATCTCTCCTACACAAACAGGCCAACAAACACAAAAGAGCGAAATAGAAGATAACAAGAGACTAACTCAAAGTCTTTCCCCAGTTCTGAAGCCTGTGTTCTCAGAGTAACAGGATTCGCTGCTGCCAAAAAGTGAAGAAGTGTGGGAGAGGAAAGACACCCCCTGTGCCCACTGGGGTGCACTAGCAGGAAAGTTCAGGAGCTCAAGACAGAGATGGCCACAGAACGGCAAAACACGGCAACGATGACCATATGATCCCCTCAAGGGTTCGAAGAGGAAATGAGTTTTCAGCTCAGAATTCCCTGATTAGGCAAACCATGTTCATGAACAGGTATTTCCAGGCACTTCAAACCTCAAGAAATGCATTAATCACATAATCTCCAAAGGTAATACTACAAAACACAGTCTGATCAAATGAGGGACTGAATCAAAAAAAGAAAAAAGGAGGGCATAGAATCTAATAGAAGATCAAACCAAGGGTATGTCAGAATGAGGGCAGGCTTCAAGGCACTTGACTCCCCTGAGGGAGTCAAGCTGGGTAGATAAGATTGACAGCAAGGGACAAGGCATGGATACACTCAGAGCAGATATGTACCATGAGGGGAAGGCCTATGCCATGCGTGATTGGTATGTACAGAGAAGAAGTAAATAAAAATTCTAGGGAGTTTTTGTTTGTTTGTTTGTTTTTCGAGACAGGGTTTCTCTGTGACTTTGGAGCCTGTCCTGGAACTAGCTCTGTGGACCAGGCTGGTCTCGAACTCACAGAAATCTGCCTGCCTCTGCCTCCCTAGTGCTGGGATTAAAGGTGTGCACCACCATCACCCAGTTTAGGGAATTTTTTTAAAGAGTGAAATGGGAATTTAATAAATAATACATTTAAGGGTTGTCTTTTTTTTTTTTTTTTAAAGACACACTTTCTCTGTAGCCCTGGCTGTCTTTGAACTCACAGAGATCCACTTGCCTCTGTCTCCCAAGTGCTGGGATTAAAAGGCAGGTGCCACCACCATATGACTTTCAAGGGTACTACTTTAAGAGATATAAAAGTATAAATACTAGCCGGGTATGGTGGCATATGACCGTAATCCTAGCACTTGGAAGATAGAAAGCAAGATGACCTAGACAAGATGGGGTGACATGAGACTTCATATCATAAAAACAAACAAAAAACTATTCCATCTATATGAAATACATGTCTACATATGAAACATAGATAGAACCCCAAGTAAAACACAACTCCTTGGGAAACAGGCAAGTCAGAAGAACACATGGTTGAAGAAGGGAGACAGACACAAGCATTAAAGCTTCCTTTTCCAACTGGGGAAACCAATAAAATAATTTCCCCAATGGAGGCAATCCACAGAGAAATAACACATTTTTTTTTCTTATTTGGAGACCTGGAAGCAAATACTAAAAGTGCGGCCAGCAATATTCCCCGGGGAAGAAAAATCGGGGTGGGACATATGTGCAGGGATTGCATTTTCTCCTCACAAGCACGGCTCATACAGCAGTCCAGTGTTCGCTTCTGTTGCCCAGCTTCAGCAATACAATTGGAACTTGCTGGGGATGGAAGTCAGTTGGCAGAGTGCCTGCCTCGCGTGCAGGAGGGCCCTGTGCTCGATCGGTGCACAGCACAAAATAAACCAGACACGGTGGTGTACACCTGCAATCCTGGTACTCTAGGGAAGATGGTCAGGGGCTCAAGGTCATATTTTGCTATATGGTGGTTTTTGAGTCTAGCCTAGGCTATGTGAGACCACGCCTTAAAAAGCAAAACAAAGTCAGCCAACCAACCAACAACAACAAAAAAACAAAAGACAAAAACAACAATAACAAAAAAAGTCTTGCAAATATACCCCAAATGACTCAGCTTATTTATTTTGTGTGTGTATGTGTAGGGATACAGTGTGTGTGTGTGTGTGTTTGTATGTGTGTGATGGGTATGTACTTCAAGAGTTTTTTACCTTGGTTTTTGAGAGAAAAGGTCTCTTGCTGGTTTAGAGTTTACCAATTTGATTAGGCTCGCTGCCCAGCAAGGCATCATCTGTCTCGACCTCCTTGGCACTGGGATTACAACCATGTTATCAAGACTTAATTTTCACACGGATCTGGGGCCCTGCAGGAATCCGTTCTTCACATTTATGTGGTAAGTCCTTTGATGACTGAGCTATCGCCTCAGTCTTAAAAAACATAACAGCTTTGATATTTTTTTAAAAAGTCTATAGGACAATTATATGTAGGTTACTGTCTAGGTCCTAGGAAAATTAAAAAATGAATGAGGAACAGATATCACACTATATTTAACAAGAAAAAACATAGCCTCTGTGTGTGTGTGTGTGTGTGTGTGTGTTTGGTGAGTGTAACTAAGAATTTAATGCTGGGGCTGGAGTGATGGCTCAGTGGTTAAAAGCCCTTGCTGTTCCTACAGAGGGCCCATTTTTGGTTCCTAACACCCATACAGCAGCTTGCAACCACCTGTAACTCCAGCTCCAGAGGATCCAACACCCTCTCTGGCTTCCACAGACTCTGTGTACACTTGGTGCAGATATATATACACTCAGGAACACACACCTAACAGAAGCCTTACAAATAAACACACGAAAAGAATCTGATGCAACTGGACAGAACTGAGATCTTAACCTTGGCCAGGAGTAAACCATTTCAGAACCTCGCTTCCAGCCATATCACCAACTACTTAGACCAGATGCTAGAGATGCCAGCACCAGCTATCAGGGTAGGGTCAGGGACTGGATGCAACGCTGCTTTAATATTTTTGGTGGCGGTGGAGGGTTGAGGGGACAAATTACAATTCAAATATGTGAGGCCCTGGGGTTATTTTCCACTAGGACTTTTTTGTTGTTGTTGTTTTTCAAGTCTGATAAATTAATAATCTTCTGCCTCTTTGTTAATTGCAGTAAATTATTTACCTTGAAGCACTCAGAGAAGTGTACTGGGGACATTAATTATTGAAACCATGAATTATACCACGCAGAAAGGTATCTCGCCACCATGTAATATTTACTAGGTGGGATGTGCCAACTTGCCAGGATCCCACACCTCCTTAGATCTGCGTCCTCTCCCTGCCCCTTAGAGCTCTTTGCCACCCATCAGAGCCTAGTCACAACACTGCTGAGCAGCTGGTACACCTGCCCACACCTGGGACCTAGAAGGTTCTAATGTGCCTCTAGCAGGTAGATTTCAATCCACTATTAGGAGCCAGAGTAATTTCTCCCCGCAGCCCGCTTTTCTCTGGCACGGAGCTGGCTCAGATTTATGAGTGGCCCTAATTGCGCCTGACTAACTCAAATATGAGTGACCAGAACGTTCTTCCTACAGGGAAGGTTTCTAAAAATAATGGCAACTCAATGAAACCTGCTGTTTTACAGGCAGATCACGCGTTGGGGAATTTCCCTTCTGTCTCCACATACTTTGTACAGGCTAGGGTTTCGGTAAAACTGAACTGTGACACACCAGCATCTCCTTAACCTTAGTAAACGATATTAATTTCAAAATGTCCTGGCTGCCACTGCACAAGCGGTGCATGGCTCCGAAGCACAGCCTTAGCTCTACCGATAACCACTGGAAAGGGTAAGCAGGGCATGCTGTTGGGTGACCACTGACTATGGAGCAACAGAGTCGGGGATGTGGCTCAGCGGGCCAAGTACTCGCCTAGTATACAGGAAGCCCCAGGTTTGACCTCTGGCATCGCATCCCTGGGGATAGTAGCACACACCTGTCATCCCAGAATATGGAGTGTGAAGGCAGAAGGGTCAGGAGTTTACGGTCGCCCTCAATTAGGTAGTGAGTTCCAGGCCAGCATGAGCTACGCGTGACCCGGTTCCTAGGTCTCATAGCTTGG